TCTCAGATCGACTCCAAAATTACAGGGGGGGAAAGAACATCACAAAATAAGAATTTTCTGAAGTTTTTAGCTGCTAAATGCTAGAAATAATTGAAATATGAGGTTTCGAAGTTTTAGCTTAAAATTAAACATTTTTGGGGGATACTCTTTAAAGGGATTTTCACGCACCGGACAGGCAACCGAGTGGCCGAATTGTTCGGAGTCCGACCTGGCAGTTCGGAGTCCGACCTGGCGTTCGGAGTCCGACCTGGTAGTGGGTCGCTGGTTCGGTTCCGTCCCGGGTTCTTTTGCTTTCTTTGCAAAACCACAGAATGTGCGTTCTCTATCGGATTGCGTCATCGCCCATCAAATGGCACACTGCCTGCACATAAGATCTCCGTTTTTGGCAGTGGGCATCTTTCGATGCTTCAGATGCATCTTTCTCCTTCAGATGCTTCAGATGAATTTGGACTTAACTCTGTAGCTTTTCGATTTCGTTTACTGATAGTGTCCCGATTTCCCGAAGACACTACGCTTTCTGGCTGTGCTGGTGGTGATCGTTCTCCTCCCATTCCTCTAGCGGTGACAAGTGCCACGCCTTTCTCCTTATTTTTGTCTTTTCATGAATATGTGTGCAATCTTTGCCTATCACTTTCACCTTTTCCAAATCTTTACTTTAATCGCGCCTCCTCGAATTCTCCATCTACCACCATTAATTTCGTCTACAAGATTTATCGATTTGTCTACCTTTCATCAAATTCTACTAGATTAACTTCTTTGTTTTGATTTATAGGAAGCTAAGAAGTATTTTGGGGCTGGCGCTGGGTAGTCTAGTCTTTTTTAGGCCTGATCAGACCAAATACATACCTAGATTTAGGCCCAGAAATGGTTAGGCTCAGGTAGGCCAGGAGGCCCAGCCATGCAGGCTCAGCTACTGCCAGGTCCAGACTTATCCAGTCTGCTCAATTTGATTCAAAGCAAGTCCAGCTAATGGTAAGCCTAAGCCAGAGCAGCAGAAGTGGCTCCTTGAAGCCTGGCTGGGCGAAAAAATGTTCTCAAAGCTGACTCGAGCAGCGCATTCCCTCGATCTTCCCTGAATATTCTTTTCATTCATTCATTCATTCATTTTCTAATCCCCTCAATCTCCCCATTCGATCTCCTGTTCTTTTTTCAAATTTCTTCATTCTCTTCCCTTTCTTCCTCCACTAAATGCCATAGATTTCGACAAGGCACGATTTTTTTTGATTAAAAACCTTTTGCTAGACATCTCCTAGCTTTATTATTTTTTACTTTTCATCTAAAAGCCCAGTAAATCTATTTTATTTATTTCTCAAGCTCTTTGAAATATTTGAGCTTAAAATCCCTTTGAGCAATTAAAGCAATCAAAGCAGAGCAGCAGGAGTGGCTCCTTGAAGCCTGGCTGGGCGAAAAAATGTTCTCAAAGCTGATCCGAGCACCGCATTCCCTCTGAGCAATTAAAGCATCAAAGCATTTTTTTAAAAACCAATTCAATCAAAATTTATCAAAAAGTCATCTTTTACTTTTGATTTGATTTTTTTTAGTTTTAAAAACTTTTGAAGAGTTTTTTTTGACTTCTTGATGAACTTTGTCTTTAAACTTTCGATTCAACATTTCAACAACAACAACAACATCTATTTTGAAGCCAAACGATTGTTTCTTGTTTCAATCATTGCCAATCATACCAATCAAAATTTTTCCCAACCCATAAAATCTCCAAATCTCTAAATCAGCATTTTCACAAAGCTTCTTTTTACATGCACAATTTCTTGAAATGGAGATTCGTTTTGAGAGCGCCGTTTAGGGGAAAACTGATCGGAATGGGGGGAAAAAAGCGAAAAAATGGCTGGGGGGAATCCGGTTTAGAGATGAGACACAGTTTGTGCCGTTTCTCCCCCCTTTTTTTCCATCCCATCATCGTTTTCCTGAACGGGCTTCGAAAAGTTTTGCCCGCTTAAGCTTTAAAGGGATGAATTTGAGGCTGATATTGAGCAAAAAAAACACCAGAATATCCGTCAAAGTCTCGCTGAATACTCGGATTTTACGTTCCCGAACTAGAGGAACGAATTGTAAGCCCCTGGATTTTCTGAATTGTAAGCCCCTGGATTTTCTGAATCGTAAGCCCTGTACCCGTCATCCAATCAAAAACTACCTAGATTATGTGAACATTGAAAACCCGAAACTTGGGTAATTAAACCGAGAAGCGGAGATTTTCCGCGGTCTCTAGCTGGGGCCGTGTGCCAGATGCCGCTTTTTCGTACGAGCGACATGAAAAGAGCCCTCAAAACTTGGGTAATTAAACCGGCGAGGGGGTTTTCGGCGGTCTCTACCCGGGGCCGTGTGCCAGATGCCGCTTTTTCCTACGAGCGACGTGGAGAGAATGCACAGTGTTTTCTTTGGATTACAGTAAGGATTACGGTATCTTTTTTTAGGGGGACTTACAGTAGTACTTTCGCTTTAGCAAAGCATAGCAAAGCATAGCAAAGCATAGCAAAGCATAGCAAAGCTCTAGCTATTACTTAGCTATTCAGCGGGAAACAGGTTTTTCTTGGGTAAACTTGAGCCGAGCCATTTTTCCTTTCACCTTTCTCTTTTCTATTTCCTTTCACGGTGCATCAGTGAACTCGAGAAATGAGCAAAAAGAGAAATCCGGGATTGATATCGATAAGTTTTTGAGAAAACGAGCTGCAAAAAAGTGAAAACCCAGCTTTCACTTGAGATTTTAGACAACTAAAGCCTTTTTTTCTTTGACTTTTTCCGAATACCGTATTTGCTCTGGTACTTTGTGCTCAAAATGGCTAAACACATCCTATCTGGCGCACGAGTTTCAAAGAATAAGTACGCTAGAAAGCAGGCGTTTACACCCGTGCACAAAGTACATTGTCAATTCGTCCAAAGTGTGCTTTGTGCTTTCTAAAAACGCACCCTCCCTGGCGCCCAGGATTCTCCAGCTTTTTTTGCCAGAAAGAAGCCAAGAAAATGAGGATTTCAGTGCGCCAGAAAGGGTTGATTTAGAGGTTTTTGAGCACAAAGTACGCACAAGTTTAGATATTCGATTTTTGCGAGCAATTTTGATATCTCTTTGCCTTGAGAAAGTGAGGACCACTTCAAATTGACCTTCGCCTTTTTTTTGGAACAAAGAAACCCCCGTTCCTTGTGTCATTTCGTTGAGTCAAGTGTGCCAGTTTCCTTCACAATTTCCCCTAAACATTCCAATAATAGCAGGGGAATTTTTGGATCAACTTTTGCTCGGATTTAAGTTTAATTGAATTGTTGGGAGTGGGACAAATGCGAGCTTTTTTTTTGCGAACTTGGACATTCGCGCATCTGGATATTTGCGAACCTTGACATTTGTGAACCTTGACATTTGCGAACCTTGACATTCGCGCATCTGGACATTCGCGCACCTTGACATTTGTGAACCTTGACATTTGTGAACCTGGACATTCGCGCATCTGGACATTCGCGCATCTGGACATTCGCGCACCTTGACATTTGCGAACCGTTTTTTCGCTGGTGAAGGAATAATCGTATTTCCTTTTTACTTAGGAAAGGCCGTAGAGCTTCAAAAATATTCTTGTGAGGGATTTGACTGCCCTGTGATTCTTTCTTGAGGTATCCATTTATCTTTTGGGTGTGTTTTGAGTGGTGTCCCGGGTAATTATTGTGATTTTGTCTTGTCGCTATTCAACTGAATAAAGCATATATATAATCGTATGCGTAGATTCCGTTTTTCGACAAATCAGACAAATCAGACCTCGGTGACACGTCAAATTTGGGCTAAAACAAATAATTTGGGCAAAAACTACGCAACTAAACGCTTTTCCGTAGGATTACGAGCCTTATATACGACTTTTTTGAAAAGACTTTCAGCTGTTTAATTAATTTAGAGGGAAATTAGAGGCAAATGTGAAGATATTCAATTTATTCGACGTGTAAAGAGGTTTCCTCGTAGTTACTCGTATCAAAAACGTCGACTAATTAAATAGAAATTACTAATAATAATAATAATAATACTTTATTCAAACGATAAAGTGAAAGAAATCATAGAGAAATGCACAGTGATACTTAATCATACAATACATACTGAAATCAATAAGCCAATTACTTACGGCAAAGAGCCACTAGATCTAAAGCATATAAAAACATTTTAGATAATATTTTAGAATTTCCACTGGCCACTTGGAAAGTTGCCAACCGGTAATGGAAATGCTTTGCGTGAAAGGTATCATCATTTTCTTCTCTTTTCTTCTCATTTAGAGGGTGGGACAAATGCTACCTTTTTTTTGCGCACCGGGACATTTGCGCACCTTTTTTTGCTGGAAAAGGCCTTAGGCAAGGCCGTAGAGCTTCGAAAATATTTCCATAGAAGGGAGTCGTATGCGTAGATTCCGAATTTCGACAAATCAGACCTCGCTGACACGTCAAATTTGGGCTAAAAGGCAAAAACTGCGGAAAAGCGTTAATATAATAAATAATAATACTTTATTCAAACGATAAAGTGAAAGAAATCATAGAGAAATGCACAGTGATACTTAATCATACAATACATACTGAAATCAATAAGCCAATTACTTACGGCAAAGAGCCACTAGATCTAAAGCATCGATACGTTTCTTGAATATGAAAAGCGACTGAATTTCTCGTATGTCGTTTGGGAGCAAGTTCCATAATCTAGCGGCTCTAACGGGAAATGAATTTGATAAAGAGGCATTGGAAGCAAAGGGAATTTGCAAAAGGAATGAGCCACTAACTCAAATTTTACTCGAGTATTTACATTCCTTAAGCCCAGGAAACACACTTTATTGTTTTTAGATTGTTTTATATTGTTTTTTGATTGTTTTTGATTGTTTTTGATTGTTTTTGATTGTTTTTGATTGTTTTTGATTGTTTTATATTGTTTTATATTGTTTTTATATTGTTTTTTCTCGATATACTTTTAAATATTCTTTTTTTCCCTTTTTGCCAATTTCAATTCTACATTTAATCAAATTCAGGTAGTGATGCCCAGACGAAGACCTTTATCGACGAGAAATCTCCTCTTTTTCGTCGTTTTCTTATTTTCAGTGAAAGCCGCTGAAACGAATAATGCTGCCGATGAACTCACACAAATGAGTGAGTTCAGAGAAAAGAATTGCCGAAGTTGTAGAATGACTTTGCTCTTGCTTTACTCACACAAACGAGTGAGTACAGAGAATGATTCTACAACTTCAGCAAAGAATTGCTGGAGTTGTGGAATGATTTTGCTCTTTCTTTACTCACACAAATGAGTGAGTTCAGAGAAAAGAATTGCTGAAATTGTAGAATGATCTGTTGCTCGAATGATCGAGTTTACTCTTTCTTCACCTTTTTCACTCATTTTCCCTTCAATTTCCCTCTTTTCAATTGCAATTTTGCGATGAATTACCGAAATTGAAATGAAATAGAAGCTTTTAAAAAGAATAAATCTGTAAAAAAATGATAAAACCTGTAAAAAACAATCAAATCTTCTCTTTCAGAAAGCCTCGATCAACCACCGCTCAGCTCAGCCGTTGATGTTGAGAAGAGGTAAAGAAAAGACTTTTTAAACTCAAAGATAACAATACTATTACAACAGGAATGACACGAGCTTGAAGTTTAGAATCGCTTCGTGTCCGAGTGCATTTTATAGAGTCGGCTATGCTGATTTTGAATCTATAAAAATTAGCTTCAAAGATCCACGCAATCGCAAGAAATCTAACCTAGAAAATCCCTTAAATTTCCCTCTAGCACTCTTCATAAGGCCGCCACAAAGAGTCGACTCAATTGCGTCTGTGGTCTAGTGGTTAGTGTGCCGGCCTAGAAGGCGAATCAGGATCCTTGGCCTAGGTTCGAGTCCACCCGTCGACAACTCTTTTTGCTTTCTTTTTCTGATGTCTTTGCATTAAATATTCATTTTTTTCAGCAGGCTTTTAGAGCTTCTAAAAAAGAAAACTAACCATAAAACTAGCCGATTAACTAGCCGATTAACTAGCCGATACTTCTACGATTCTAAACTTCGATCTGGTGGCTTTCCCTTGTAAGATATCAAGGGGCTTTCCATTGTAAGACATCAAGGGGCTCAAAAATGAAGACCATGCCTGTAAATGAGGGAAAGTCATTAAACCGGAACTCATTCAGAACTCTTCATCACTTTTGAATAAGCCAGATTAGACCAGGACTTGCTATGCTTTGCTAGGATTTTTTTTTTGAGGCTAAACTAGCTAGCTTTTATTTTTAAAAGTTTTTAAAAGCTTTTAAAGCCATTGACGACTCGATTTTCTAGAGCCATTGACGCGGCGGCTGATCAAAACTCGGACGGGAAATTCCAGCTTTGTAAGTGGAAAATCGATAAAATCGATAATCGATCTTCTATCTAATCAATTCTAGACATGGGAACGATTGATGGAGTGAGGCGAATGCTGTTCAATGAGGTCGACGGAGGAGAACAAGTTGTGCCAAGTGAGGGGCAAAAGTCTAGCTTAAAGTATTGGGTTGATGCATAATTATCCGGACTTCTTTTATAAATGATTTTATTTAACAAAAAATAACATAAATAGTTAGAAAAATATGTTTAATTGATTATTCTGGAGCATATTCACCGCCTACATCAATAACTGATTGCCATTTGCTTGGAAGACGATCGATTCCACGAGCGAAGAATAAACGATCTTTGGAGGCAATCCACGCTTTAACATCGTCTATCAAGTCATCCAAATCGTTGTAGATCTTATTTGTTTGCCAATTTTTGAGCGATCGATTGACGTGGTAGTCCGTTGGGGCTTCTCCAGTTCTTTGAGATCGCGAAACGACTCTGCGGCAGACCATCCCTTTTCGAAGTGGTAGAGCATGATATGGCGAAGATGGATATGATTGTCGACACGCATTTTGTTCACTAAAGAATAACGAATATTTAAAAAAAAGAAATAGACAAAAAGCTTTCAAAACAAAAAAGATACAAGCACGCAAAAAGAAGTCCGGATAATTATGCATCAACCCAATAGTTTGAATTTTTTTTTTTTAGAATTTTAATTTAATTTTTTTCCAGCTTACAATGTCAATACAATTTTGACAGATTCACTTGAAAAGATAAGAAATTCAATAATTCAAATTCAATAATTCAAATTCAATTCAAAAAAATAAAAACACTTTAAAGAAACACTTTTATTTAGAAGAAGAAAAACTTAGGTTATTCGATGAATTTGTTATTTTTGAAAAGGAAAAGAAACGAAAAGAAACGAAAGAAACGAAAGAAACGAAAAGGAAACTTTTTAGACATTTTACAAGTCATTAAGATTATTGTACAGCATTGTAGACTACAATAGTCGATGTAGATTTTGATATTGTTATTTTTGAAAGGAAAAGAAAGGAAAAGAAAGGAAAAGAAGCGAAAAGAAAGAAAAAAGGAAACTTTCTGGACATTTTACAAGTACTAGGTTGGTGCAAATGAAATTTCGTTTTTTTTACAAACATTAAAGTCATCCAAAATTTTTTTTGATAACAATTTATTTAAAACAATAAGCACCATTATTATCTATGACATCCCTCTAGCGTTGCTACAGATTGCGGATCCCCTTCTCAAAGAACGCTTGATTCTGTGATGCAAAGTAGTTGGTCACCCAATTTTCGACTTCTTTTGCATTCTTAAACTGGCAATTCTCAAGGGAATGTTGCATCGATCTGAAAAGGTGAAAATCGGAGGGTGCTAAGTCTGGACTATACGGCGCATGTGGTTAAGACCTTCCATCCTAGCTTCTCTAGTTCCTTACAAGAGGTTTTTGCCGTGTGAGCTGGAGCATTATCACGGAGAAAGTTGATAGTTGAGGGATTTAGGCCTTTTTCACGCAAAATTTCGTCAACCTTCTTGAGTTGTTGAATAAAATAAGATGAATCGACTGTTTTTCCGGGCTCTAATAATTCAAAATGAACAAGTCCATTGATATTCCACCAGCAAGACAACATCACTTTGCGCCCATGATAATCCGGCTTTGGAGTTGGAATTGGCGCTTGACCTTTGCTCAGCCATTGTCTTTTTCGAGAAGTATTATCAAAGTGAATCCACTTCTCATCCATCGTCAAGATATTCTCAAAAAAAATGGCTTCTTTTCGACTTCTGGAGCAAGATATGGCTGATCGAAACGCGTGCTCCCAGATTCTCAACACTCAATTGATGTGGAACCCATTGTCCATTACGATTTGTCTTTCCAATTATTTCCAAATGGCGTACAATTGTTGAATTGGAGATGTTTGGCAAGTTCTCGTGTTGTTTGCATTGGATCAGCTTCAATTAATTGTTCCAATTCATTGTTGTCGATGGCTGTGGCACGAGACGATTCGTCTTCAAGGGATTCATGCGATTCGTCTTCAAGGGATTCATTACCATCTCGGAATTGGGCAAACCAGAGCTGGCATGATCTTTCGGTGATAACCTATTCTCCAAAGGCGGAACAGAGATCACGATGTGAATCAGCAGCGTTTTTGCCCATTTTGAAGTCATAGAGAAGACACGTGCGCAGAACATACTTTTGATCCACCATGATCTAAAGCAAAAATCAATTAAAAAGTGAAAGCTCTGACTTTGAAAAAATGCGAAAATAAAGTAAATATCCAAGAGTACAAATGCACAAAAGAACATCAAATAAGCTCTTCAGATTAAAAAAATAAGAACATTTTATATCGACCGAAATTTCTTTTGCACCAACCTAATAATTAGTGAGATTACAGCATTGTAGACGGTGGTAGTCGATGTAGATTTCGATATTAGATATGTTAAATTTCTCTAGATCGATTAGAGAACGAGTTTTATCATTGTTTTATGATTTTTTTTGATTGGCAAAGTTTCCAGCCGAAGTTGGCGGTCGAGGTCGAGAGATCGATCAATTCGGCGCCTATGACGATAACACAATTGTTGATCCGAATCAAGGTGAGTTAAAGAAATAAATAAAGAAAGAAATCAAGAAGGAAGTAAAGAAGGAAGTAAAGAAAGAAAGAAATAAAGAAATAAATAAAGAAATAAATCAAGAAGGAAATCAAGAAGGAAATCAAGAAATAAATAAATAAAGAAGGAAGTAAAGAAGGAAATAAAGAAATAAATAAATAAAGAAAGAAATAAAGAAAGAAGGAAATAAAGAAGGAAATAACGAAATAAATCAATAAATAAACCAAGAAATAAATCAAAAATCTAAAATAAGCTCAGAGAAATCAAATTCTCTACTTTTTACCTAAAATTTCCATTTTAAAAGCTTCAAAACAAGCTTCCAGTAATCGATTGAATGTAAATTTTAATGGCGCTAATTTCCCGGGCATTTCAGGCATTTCAGGCATTTCAGCCATTTCAGCCATTTCAGCCATTTCAGCCATTTCAGCCATTTCAGCCATTTCAGCCATTTCAGTCCCAACGTCAACAGTTGTGAAACGGAAAAATGCGATCTCTTGATCGATTTCACAATGTTTTCTTTGATTTCATTCGATAGACAATCAAGACAATCAAATTTTGCATTATTTGATTAAAATCAGAAGCTCAAAAAAAAGCTTATTTCCCTTGCACACCTATTGACGTTTACAAGGGAAATTCCTTAGATTTGGTATCGAATTTCAACTCTAAATTCTTTATCCTTTCAACTAAACATTTAGCCTTTAGCGCTTTAGAAAATAGGAAAAGAAAACAAACTATTTGTTATGTTTACCAATGAATACTAACCTTTAAAACTACAGTAACTCAATAAATACAGTAATCTACAGACTATTGTAGTCTATAAGATCAATCTAGAGCAATCTACAGACTGCTATAGTCTTTAACATCAATCCACAGACTATTGTGGTCTTTAACATCAATCTACAGTAACGACAACCACCCACAGAACTCCCGCATAGCAATTAGGAACCTTTAAAACTACAGTAACTCAATAAATACAGTAACTACAGACTGCTGTAGTCTATAAGATCAATCTACAGTAATCTACAGACTACTATAGTCTATAACATCAATCCACAGCAATCTAAAGACTCGTTCGGCTTTTAAAAATGAAAAAAAAGCTGAGTAAAGATTACAATTGTTTGTTTTTTGTTTTTGTATTGTTTATTTGATTTCTTGATTACTGTTGTAATGGAGTAATAATTTTAGAAAAGGGTATTTTCATCCCGCGTCCCTATCGACCGAAAGATGAGCGCATTGAGGAAGCGAAAACGACAACCACAACCACAACCACACAAGCGCCCACGACAAGAAGGTAAAGAAAAAATTTGAATATTTAAACTACAGTCCCAAATGAACACAGTAAACTACAGCACCTAATGAATACTGTAGTTTGTAGTAGCTATCAATATCATCATCAATACAGTAAGCTAATGTACGGCTATCCACAGGCCATTCACTGACCATTCACTGGCCATTCACTGGCCTGCTGTAGTCTTTCTAGACAGCTGTAGAAATCCTGCTGTAGAAAAGACTTTCTAGACAGCCAACGATCAGTTTTTATTTCAAAAATCTCAAAACTCACCGTGTGAATCACCATTTTCTTTGTGTTCTTCAAATCTTTATACATTGATTAATCGAATTTCTACTAAGTTACCTAATTTCTCGATTTCTCGATTTCTCCATTTATCCATTTCTCGATTTCTCCATATCGTTTTCTATACCATAGACGAATTCTCACAACCACTCGCCGACCGACTTTTCAACGAATCTCTGAACGAACTCGTCGACCACCTTTCCGACCGTTGCCACCGTTTGTTTTGCCACCGTTTTGCACCCTTTAGTCTCATTTTACTAATAAAAGTAACATTGACATCAATGCCTGGCTTCTGTTTTCAATGCCTGGCATCAATTTTGGTGTCCGTTTCCTAAAAAAGTGATCCTTGAAAAGCTGACCGTAAGTCGAAGCTTAGCTTCCGGGGTATGGTAACTTTTTTCACCTTTTAAGAAGCGGCTTCGATCTATGTAAATGCCTCACTGCCTGGCTTTCAACTGCTCTAGATTTTTCCAAATTCATCTATTTCCAGACCAACCCTCCCACCAGCTCCTGTTCAACAGCCAGCTCCCTTCCGACCAGCTCAACCCCTACCACAATCTCCATCAAGACCACCGTTTTCACAGGTACAATATTGAATAAGTGACAGGACTAGTTATAAGAAATTCTAGTCTAGATTTAAAGTTAAAGCTACTGTAAGCTACTATAAGCCTACAGCAAGCTACAGCACGCTACTGTAGGCTACTGTAAGCTACTGTAGGCTACTGTAAGCTACTATACGCCTACAGCAAGCTACAGCACGCTACTGTAAGCTACTGTAAGCTACTACAAGCCACTGTAAGCTACTGTAAGCTACTGTAGGCTACTGTAAGCTACAGCAAGCTACTACAACCCACTGTAAGCTACAGCAAGCTACTACAACCCACTGTAAGCTACAGCAAGCTACTACAACCCACTGTAAGCTACAGCAAGCTACTACAACCCACTGTAAGCTACTACAACCCACTGTAAGCTACTGTAAGCTACTGTAAGCCACTGTAGGCTACTGTAAGCCACTATAAGCCACTGTAAGCCACTATAAGCCACTGTAAGCCACTATAAGCCACTGTAAGCCTACATCATCCTAAACAAAAAAGGTTAGCTAGCCTACGAAACTTTTCTCTGAACTCTGAACTAAAGTTATAGATATACTGTAGGCCGTATGTGAAAAGTTGAACCTTTTTCAGTTGCCCGGCCGTCTCCCACCACCACCCCAGACACGGTTCGTTTAAAGATATCAAAATATATGAATAGTATTGTATCGTACTCGTGATTCAAGCTTCAAGAAATATTGTTTTTTTTTCTCTAGCCGACCCCCAATCATCCCCGTTCATCAAACGGCCAGCCGCCCATCGCAATCCATTCAACCTTTCCCACCACAGCCACAGGTATGAATAAAATCCCTACTATATAAAAATAATCTCTATCCGTCTGTGCGCACACTACGCGCGTCCCCTTTAAGTACTTAAAAAACGCTGAAACACATGTTCAATGAAATTTCATGTAAGTGTGGTTTTGTGTTTACAAAAATCAAAGTAGGTGGTCACTGGCGGGGGTTGAAACCGGGTCGTTCAATCGTTTTCAATTTTGGTGACCGTTTCCTAAAAAGTGATCCTTGAAACTGACCGTAAGTCGGAGCCTAGCTGGTCGTGTGCGCGTGGCGTGAATGCAATTTGCATTTTACGCTGAGATTTGCATGGAGGGATTTTTCACCGCAGGCAATTCGTCTCTGGCAATCATTTTTATGATTTCAGAAGCTGTTCTGCTAGTAATAATAATAAAAAAAAGGAGCCATTTTTTAAGATATAAAAAAGCACCCAAAACTTGGGTAATTAAACCGGGAAGCGGTGGTTTTCCGCGGTCTCTAGCTGGCGCAGTGTGCCAGGCGCTACTTTTCCGACGAGAGACATGAAAAGAACGCCCAGGCTTGGGTAATTAAACCGGGGAGGGAGGTTTTCCATGGTGTTTACCCAGGGCAGTGTGCTAGACGCTGCTTTTTCCGACGAGAGACATGAAAGGAACGCACAAATCCGTTTTGTCCCTATCTACAGTAGAGGAACGAATTGTAAGCCCTGTATCCGTCATCCAATAAAAAACTACCGAAATTAAGTGAACATTGAAAACCCGAAACTTGGGTAATTAAACCGGGAAGCGGGGGTTTTCCGGGGTCTCTAGCTGGGGCAGTGTGCCAGACGGTGCTTTTTCCGACGAGAGACATGAAAGGAACGCACAAATCCGTTTTGTCCCTATCTACAGTAGAGGAACGAATTGTAAGCCCTGTATCCGTCATCCAATAAAAAACTACCGAAATTAAGTGAACATTGAAAACCCGAAACTTGGGTAATTAAACCGGCAAGCGGGGATTTTCGGCGGTCTCTACCTGGGGCCGTGTGCCAGATGCCGCTTTTTCGTACGAGCGACATGAAAAGAGCCCTCAAAACTTGGGTAATTAAACCGGCGAGCGGGGGGTTTTCGGCGGTCTCTACCCGGGGCCGTGTGCCAGATGCCGCTTTTTCCTAGGAGCAACATGAAAAGAACGCACAGAGCCGATATTTTTGGCTTTTTTTGACTATATAAAAGTTTAGTTATCTACAGTAAACTTTCAGCTGATCATATCTAAATTTATTTCTATACTTTCTACTGTACATTAGACATGTTTTTTTTTTCAATTTACAGCCAGCTTTCCGCCCAGTTCAACAGCAAACTTTCCAACCGCAACCAACCTTCCAGCAGGCTCGTTTTTTTAGATCCAGATAATTTATTGTATTTTGTTTCTATAGATTTATAGATTTATAGATTTATTATCTAATATCTTGATTTTTGCGATAATTTCACCAAATTTTAGCCCTTCCGACAGCCCTTCCAGAGCTTCCAAACGCCACGAGTTTGTTTTTGAGTTTAGCTAAAATCGGGGAACTGATCGCTTACCGTATCTCTTTTCCCCAATTTCATCTATTTCATCTATTTCATCTATTTCATCTATTGAAATTGAAGCTGAGATTGAAAAATTTTCTCTATTCTATTTCATCCTCTATCTACAGTGAGCAAAAATCGATGTTTTTATGAGTTTTTCTTCGAGCTCTTCCTCTCTTCATTAAAGACTTTTTTTCTAGTCTTTTCTAGTCATTCTAGTCTAGTTTAGGCTATGTTTCTCTAATTGTTTTCTTTCTTTTTCGTGAATCAATACGCTTTTCAGCCGGCTCCACCCAGCACACCAACTCCTCGTCCACCCTTCAACGGACCCGATCCAAATCGAATGCGAACCGGGGGTAAGCTTCAAAAAGACAAAGAGAAGACAAGATTTAAAGACAAGTTTAAAAAGATTATCTAAGGCTTGGGAAATCTTATACTAGAGCTTAGGATTAGTTTAGGATTAGCTTAGAAGCAGCTTAGAATAGCTTAGAATAGCCTAGAATAAGCGACTTATTTAAACTAGATCAATTGAAACCGTAGCTAGATTCGACCATAGCTATTCTGACATATAAAGCAACGCGTATTGTCGCCGAGCACTTGAATTCTACTTTAAACATGTATAAAGCATTGGGATTGCAAACTAGGATTGGATCGCAAACTAGGATTGGATCGCAAACTAGGATTGACTCGCAAACTAGCATTGGATCGCAAACTAGGATTGGATTGCAAACTAGGATTGGATCGCAAACTAGGATTGGATTGCAAACTAGGATTGGATTGCAAACTAGCATTGGGATTGCAAACTAGGATTGGATCGCAAACTAGGATTGAATCGCAAACTAGCATTGGATTGCAAACTAGCATTGGGATTGCAAACTAGGATTGGATCGCAAACTAGCATTGGGATTGCAATCTAGCATTGGATGGCAAACAAGCATTGGATCGCAAACTAGGATTGGATCGCAAACTAGCATTGAATCGCAAACTAGCATTGGATCGCAAACTAGGATTGGATTGCAAACTAGCATTGAGATTGCAAACTAGGATTGAGATTTTTGAGCCAAAAAAACGTGATAAATCCAAATACTGTACAAATCGATGTCCACCAAGCTACACACAACTTCTATAGAGCTATAGAGAGTCTTCTATAGAGAATCTTCTATAAAGAATCTTCTATAAAGAATCTTTAATTCTAAAGATCCAATCTAAACTACAGTCAGCCATTTCAGTGTGCGCCAATTCGATCTTCTACATTTCGACTCCATTATCCGGCCCTTCTCGACTCTCATTCACTCATTTTGCTATCGCCGTCACGGTGGATCAATGCGCTCGCACTTGTCACGAATTCAATTGCGCTGTGAGTTTAAAAAATCTCAAAAATAGCATCTAAACATCTAGTAAACCCTTTTCCTTCACAGTCCTCTTTACACTCCAATACTCTTTCTCAGATCGCTCACTACAACCCAGTAAACGGTCATTGCGAGTTCAATCCCTCAACAGCATTTGCGATCAGAAATGGACAATGCCCCGCGTGGCCATCGCTTCACTATAGGTATTGGATATATCAATACACTTTTTGATCTTCAAAAAATCTCTTTTAGAAACAACGTGGTCGCTTCGGAAGCGGTGCGCATCTTTTGCGCCACCTGTCAACGACCAAGGCGCAGAATCAGCAACAATGTTAGAGGGCGCTTCAATTTGAGACAGTTTGTTTTATCAAAACATTCAGTTATTTTAAAGATAATCTTATTTTTCTTAATTTCTTTAAATCTTTAGAAGAGCGTTTGATCCACGTAAATCGCGATCACAGCGTGGACGATCGAGAAGGGAAAAGAGGTGGGGAATGAAGAGCTACAGTAGCTGGTTACAGGCTTAGGCTCAGGCTTAGGCTTAGGGTTAGGCTTAGGGTTAGGCTTAGGCCTAGGCTTAGGCTTAGGCTAGGCTTAGACTCAGGCTACAGGCTCAGGCTTAGGCTTAGGCTTAGGCTTAGGCTCAAGCTTAGCCTTAGGCTTAGGCTTAGGCTAGGCTTAGGCTTAGGCTTAGGCTTAAGCTTAGGCTCAGGCTTAGGCCCCGGGTTCGATCCCGGTGAGCATTTTCCTTTTGAGAGCTTAGAACTTTACTTGACCATGTCCCCATTCTCCATCCCATCTCCCCATTCAGCCACTTCTCTTCCTCCAATCATGCGACTTCCTTCTCCTCCTCTTCCTCATCTCGTTCAATCCCTGTCATTCACGGTGTCCTTCTCCGTCAACCCCAATCCAAAGCAACAGGCTTATCCACCTCATCATTCGTCGGTCTAACAAATTCAGCTGAAACATCAAAAGCGAGAGGGGTTTGTTATGATCTTTAACGTTTTCTTTTATCCATAAAATCAATCTAAGCTTCTTTTAGGTTACTAATAGCTTTTTAAATATTAAATGAGCTCTGACTACAGATCTACAGATCTATAGATCTACAGATCTACAGATCTACAGATCTACAGATCTACAGATCTACAGATCTACAGATCTACAGATCTGTAGGGATCTTTCTTTATTCACCACCGAGTTGCGAAAAGAAAACTAGCCCATTTTATAGCAAATTTTTTGCTCATTTCGAATATCTAATTCGTTTTTTTATCATTTTTGATTTAAATCCCTTTGAGGTTTGGGTATAAAAAAGGTTTTTGAGTGTTGCGGTGATTATCTGACCGCGCGAGTATCAAGCGATCTTTCGGTATCTTCAGGTATGTTGTGGTGGAGAAGTGGTAAGTGCGCCAGGCTTTGAGCTCTCAACTCTTTAGCCTGATTCGAGCCCGGATCTGGGCAATTTATACGGATTTAAATCAAAAATTTGAACCACAAACAAACGGTCTAGATATTCGGAATCAGCAAAAAATTAGATAGGAAATAAAGATAGGAAATAAATAACGATTTCTAGTGATTGAGTTGAATTGAATTTTGTGGAGTAGGCCAGAGAAGGTGGCGTTTGCAGATTTAAGTCCAAAGCCAAGGCTAAAATGAATTTCAAAAATTGCAGGCTCGAAATCTCGAAGTCGATTCGACGATCCCATTGCAAGAGGAAATGGAAGAAGTGGAAGCGGCGCACAAAGGAAAAATGAGGGTGCGTTGAAGAGTTGCCATTGTTGGCTACAGTAATCTGGGCTACAGTACCCTTTGGCTACTGTACACTGGGCTACAGTACCCTGGGCTGCAGTTCTCTTGGGCTACAGTACCCAGAACTAGGGTATCCTTGGACTACAGTATCCTTATCCTACAGTACCCAGAACTAGGGTATCCTTGGACTACAGTACCCTTGAGCTACAGTATCCTTGTCCTATAGTACCCTGGGCTACAGTAGCCTTGAGTCACTCTAAAGCACGTCCCAGCTACCGTATCACTAATCGTTAGGCATTACTGAAATCCAGAGCTAGCGACGGTAGCCGGCGCATGTTTTCGAATGGCTACAGTAGCTCTCTCGGTTAACGCACTCTTTCTGGCGCACTCCTGTTTTTTCATCACTTTACCAGAAAGCGCGCGTTCATGCGCACAAAGTACACACCCAAAATCCTAGCGTTACTGGAAGAAAAATCGAGATTTGAGTGCACCAGAAAGGGTGCGTTTACAAATTCCCGAGCACTTAAATAGAAAACTGTGTCGTAAAAGAGCGATTTTGCTCAATGAAATTTTAAAAAAAATTCCATTTCAGAGTCAATAAGCCAATGAAAGTTGAAGAAGTTGATGAAGAAAAAAACGACTCATATTTTATTTATTTTATTTTATTTATTTATTTTATTTATTTATTTACGTAAAATTGAAAAAAAATTTTCTCTTTTTTTGCTCATTACGATTATTTCTGAATATTTTATGCAAATTTTATTTATAATTTCCAAAAAAAAAAAGTAAAAAATTTAAAACCGGTCTAAAATTTGCATTTTTTTTGATTTTTTTTTGACTAAGCAATAGCGAAATTTTCAAAATTTTCCTTAAGAAATCCCCGAAAATCCTGTTTGCTCAAGATTTCTCAAATTTTTTCTCGTTTTTCCTGTTTTTTTTTTTTGGTTTTTGATGTGAAATGAAAGTGAAAAAAGAATAAAAATTTGAAATCTGTTTCGAAAGTCGCATTTAAAAGACGAAAGATCAATGTAGATAGGGAAAAAACGGATTTGTGCGTTCCTTTCATGTCTCTCGTCGGAAAAAGCAGCGTCTAGCACATGGCCCTGGGTAAAGACCATGGAAAACCTCCCTCCCCGGTTCAATTACCCAAGCTTGAGCGTTCTTTTCATGTCTCTCGTCGGAAAAAGCACCGTCTGGCACACTGTCCCAGCTAGAGACCCCGGAAAACCCCCGCTTCCCGGTTTAATTACCCAAGTTTCGGGTTTTCAATGTTCACGTAATTTCGGTAGTTTTTGATTGGATGACGGGTACAGGGCTTACAATTCAGAAAATCCAGGAGCTTACAATTCGTTCCTCCACTGTAGATAGGGACAAAACGGATTTGTGCGTTCCTTTCATGTCTCTCGTCGGAAAAAGCAGCGTCTGGCACACAGGCCTGGTTAGAGACTGCAGAAAACCCCGCTCCCCGGTTTAATTACCCAAGCTTGAGCGTTCTTTTGATGTCTCTCGTCGGAAAAAGCGGCATCTGGCACACGGCCCCGGGTAAACACCGTGGAAAACCTCCCGTCCCCGGTTTAATTACCCAAGTTTCGGGTTTTCAATGTTCACATAATTTCGGTAGTTTTTGATTGGATAAAAAGTACGGAGCTTGGAATTCAGGAAAATGCAATTCGTTCCCCTAGTTCAGTAACTTCAAAATACGTGATTGTGCGTTACTTTTGTGGTATGTCGCTCGTCACAGAAAAATTCGGTAGTTTTGTGAAAAAGTACAGGGCTGTCAGGAAGCAATCGTTCCTAGTTCAGTATACGGATGCGTTTTGTCCTCGTAGGGAAAGTGGTGTCTGGCACGCTGCCCTGACTAGAGACACCGAAAAATAAAACGACTCTCTCGGTTTAATTACCCAAGTTTTGAGCTCTCTTTTTATGACTTAAAAAAGGTTAACTCCCTCTGGAGTAAAGGAGATCGAGTGCGTTGTGGTGTAATGGCTAGCACAATTGCTTGCTAACCGAAAGGTCGCGGGCTCGAGTCCCAGTGGCGCACAATTTTTGATTTCCCCTAGTTTTCTGGCTGATAAGTGGCAAAATTAAGAAAAGATTTATTGAACTTGTTCATTTATATACAAAAATTGAACTAGAAATATTCATTTGAACTTATGCATAATTTATGAGATCGAATCGTGAAAAGCCGTGAAAAAGAGCGTGTTTCTGAACATTTTCTTCGCATTTTTCTTACTTTATTTCATCATTGATTTGATCGAGATCCTGTCATAAATAAATAATCGTTGAAAAGTCAGTGAAAGATTACCAAATCGACCGCCATTGCTCCACGATTGTTGGCGCGAGAGAAAAATCTCCTCCTTGAGTCCGGATTTACTCCATCTAGTGTGTTCAAAAGTTCACTTTTCAGCTTCGTCTCTTCTCCATCAATAAGCTCTATTTTCCACGTTTAGCTTTATCCTTACTAGACCTGGAAATTTGAACATGAACGTCGATAGGTGCCCAATGGAAAAAAACGCATTTCTCCGTTGATTTCAATAATTTTTTTTGAATTTGATATTAATTGACGAAGAATTTCATTGTTAATTGATTGAAATGAAATTGATTGAATTCTTGATTGAAAAAGATATGGCATCTTTCCGTTGGATATCTATTGGATGTCTATTGGATATCTATTGGATATCTATTGGATATCGATTGGATATCGATTGGATGTCTATTGGATATCGATTGGATGTCTATTGGATATCTATTGGATATCTATTGGATATCTATTAGATATCTATTAGATATCTATTGGATATCTATTGACGTTCAGATCGAAAATTCCTAGATTCATTGCTTACCAAAGATCTCGTTCAATTTTCGCTTTGCTACTTGTCGTGCGATTGACGGCCCAGCGACAGGGGCAGCGTGTAGCTCGGCTTTCACCTGAATAAGTAAAATGTAAATTGTAAACTGTAGCTTGTAACTTATAAATTGTAAAATGAAAAACTTACTAATCGTAAAACCCCTTTTGAGTACCATGTTGCGATTCTCAATGGTGTACAGAAATGAGGATTTGCCGGTTCCTCTGGATTGTTGAGCAGTTTTCCTTCTTGGCGTTCATACTGTAAATGTGAAATGGGTATATGATAAATGTTATGCCTTCTGACAGCTACCGTATACAGGTACAGTAGCCATAAGCTACCGTAACCCGAAGAGCGACACTGGCTACGGGCTACAGTACTCCCAAGATATGCGCTACAGTACTCCCTAGATACGAGCTACAGTACTCCCTAGATACAGGCTACAGTACTCTCTAGATACAGGCTACAGTACTCTCTAGATATGAGCTACAGTACTCCCAAGTTATGGCTACAGTACCCCCAAGATACGAGCTACAGTACTCCCAGGTTATTGCTGTCTTTTCGGGTTTTAGAAATCTATCCCTGGATATCCCTAACATCCATTCTTCATCACTTTTGCATTCTTGTAATACCTTTACGAGAGGCACTTGCGGTAAGGCTTTGTTTTTCCGCTTCTCATCGTAGCATCCCTTACATCGATATGACGAGATTTTTCCATTTGCTAGATCTCTGGCTTTCTCGAAGATTAGACACGATTCGTTTTCAAGTGGCCACAGCAAAAGTGGATGCTTTCCGAAACTGAAAACAATGACGTCAAAAATTTTAAAAACAAAAACAAGTTTTAATGACGTCAAAAATCTGAATGAAAAGAGGTAAAGTTGGAAAATACAAAAAAAAAAACAATCAAGATTCGAAGCGGCGATCTTTCGCTTTTAGCGATCACGATCACGAGGCAAAAGCTTTTGCAATGAGCTAGATCGACAGGTAGTGTGGGTAGGTCTTTTATACTTTACTTTACCTGCTATCAAGAAGAGTCGGACACCAAGTGTCGCTACTTAAAGACGAAGACGCCATCGTCTAAAAGGATTTGAAATTTCATGATGTATTCAATGAAAAACTAATTCTAGAGTTAAAAGATGGAATGGAAAGAAATTCGTGAATAGGGTAGACGCTATAAACTACAAAAATGACGAGCTGGGCTACATCTGTTCCCTATTCTAAATCTATTCACTATAAACTACAAAAAGGACGAACTGTCAAGCTATAAACCCTCACAATTTTCTTCCCGTAAGTCCTTTTTCAGAAATTTTTTAACCAGAATGAAAAGAAAAAAAATTCTCTTTCGAATGGTCAATAGAGCTTCCAGAAACAGGACAAATATCGTAAAAACTTCAAAAATATCGCAAACTACAACTGATCCGATTCGAGTAACATTTTTGAAGTTTTTTACGATATTTGTCCTGTTTCTGAAGCTCTATTGACCATTCGAAAGAGAATTTTTTTTTCTTTTTATTCTGGTTAAAAAATTTCTGAAAAAGGACTTACGGGAAGAAAATTGTGAGGGTTTATAGCTTGACAGTTCGTCATTTTTGTAGTTTGTAGTGAATAGATTTAGAATAGGGAACAAATGTAGCCCAGCTACAGTAGAGTGAATAAAAGCTACAGCTACAGTAGAGTCTTGCTCGAAATTGGGACTCAAAATTTGTAAAATTGGTTCAATTTGGATTTAATTTCTTTCCTGATCTCGCATCAAAGTCAACTTTCGATTTTGCGGTCATTCTTTCAATAAATTAAAGGGGGGGTATTAATCGCGGCCGGGTGACGATAAAAATTTTTTTACGGCAACCACCTGTTTTTTTGTTTTAATATCGCTGATTTTATTATAAAAAGAATAAAAATCACCCGGCTAGAGTGATTTGATGGGTTTACAAGATTTTTGGAGATGCTGCAAGGCTTGGAGAAAAACAAGATCGTCACTCATCAGACACCTCAGCTAAAAGGCACCTATTTGAGAAAACTAAAACCATAAGCGACCACAAATGAAAAAAGATCTAATTGTGTCAATCAAAGCGCTGAAGACGTCCTACGATGGAGGAGATCCAGTCACTTTTGGTGAAGATGCGCTGGAAATTGATAAGATAGGAAGCCGATTTGTACTGCTGTACTTGAGCCGAACTGCTGTACTTGAGCGAAGATGAAAGTGAGCAAGAGGAAGAATTATAGATTAACAATTTATTTTTATTACTTTTTGTGCTTTTTATTTTGTTTTTAAATTTATCTGCAACTAAAACTCAATCGATCTAGACTGTGCTGAGGTGTCTGATGAGTGTTCTTGTTTTCCTCCAAGCCTTGCAGCATCTCCAAAAATCTTGTAAACCCATCAAATCACTCTAGCCGGGTGATTTTTATTCTTTTTATAATAAAATCAGCGATATTAAAATAAAAAAACAGGTGGTTGCCGTAAAAAATTTTTTATCGTCACCCGGCCGCGATTAATACCCCCCTTTAAACGCTTTTTGACTTTGTTGCAGCCATAACTAAATAAAAAAGTAAATAAAATAAATAAAAGCGCGTTAAAAAACTTGTTTAAATTGTTATTTTTACAATAAATAGTAAAAATTGCGTGAAAATCAATAGATTGAAATCAATAGAAATCAATAGAAATCAATAGAAATCAATAGATCAAAGTTTGATTGATGATTGATGCAAATTTTGAGTGCCTCTAACCGCTTATAGCTTTCGAATTTTGAAGCTTTACAAATTTACAGAGAACAGAGATGTCTAGTAAAGAATTTTTTGTGTTTCACTTGGCAATGCGCCCACTGTTGGCAAATAGCCAACGAGAACGCGCAAAAACCTAACGTGTATTTTAAAAGAGAAGTGACGGGGTGGATGTTGTGGCAAAAATAGAGCACAAAAATAAGGCGCTAATCTTTTTCGAAGCTTTTAACTTTGAAATAAATTCCAATTTTGGTTGAATTAAAAGATATTCAGCTAACGAATTGAGTACGCTCTTTTGAGACAAATCTTCAAACTGATTGAGCAAAAATTTGAAGATTTGTCTCAAAAGAGCGTACTCAATTCGTTAGCTGAATATCTTTTGAATTGTAAAATTATGTATTTATTTTGATTTTCTGGATTCTTCATTTTCTGGGGTAGGCTTATTTCGCCATTTTATTTGCGCAACTGGATCATTCGCGCAACTGGATCATTCGCGCAACTGGATCATTCGCGCAACTGGATCATTCGCGCAACTGGATCATTCGCGCAACTGGATCATTCGCGCAACTGGATCATTCGCGCAACTGGATCATTCGCGCAACTCGCCATAACTTTCTTCTAAGTGCACCAATCTTTATGATTTTATGTCATTTTAGTCGGCACAAAATGACATTTGCTCAACGCACCATAACTTTCTTCTAAGTGCACCAATCTTTATGATTTTTGTTTCATTTTGTAGATATCAATAAGTGCAACAAAATGACACCAAAAACATAAAGATTGACACACTTAGAAAACAGTTAAGGCGAATTGCGGAGATTAGCCTACCCCCATTTTCTTATTTCTTTTCATTTTCTCTACACTTCTACTTCAACGGCTTTAACGCTGCTTTAACTTTGATTTAACTTTGATTTATTCAATGAAAACTAATGTTATTCGGCTTTCTAGAAACCATTTTATATCAACCATTTGATTGTTCTGTGAGACTTTTTCATATTTTCTGAATAATTTGACGATTTAACAATTCTTTTATGTTTAGGCCGCATGTCCACACTAGAAGCGTATGTGAATGAACAAAAGAAGAAAGGCAATCTCGGCACATCAGCCTCGTTTTCGTCGCTGGGAGATTTGAGGAACAAATTCTCGACATCCATCTCGATTGGTCGATTGTTTAACAGGTTTGCGAGTTTTGTGTTTTTTCCTAAAAGCTTAAGAAAGCCGAGAAGCTTCGACTAAGACTTTTTGTTCGATTAGACATCAGCTCTAAAAAAAGATAGCCTACGGCTAAAGCTGACTAAAACACGTCTTTTTCAAGCGTTTTATTATGAAATGCGCAATTTGCGCGTAAAAATGCCCTAGAAAAGTGGTTTTGAAGTGAAAATTCTCCTCCAATCCCACAAACATCGATGTCTTTATCTTTTTTTGTAAATCTAATGGATTTAAAATAGCTTTTAAGCATAGCGATACGTGATTTTTGCATAGATTAAGAGCTTGGCGATACGCTGATTTTAACCTAGGCTATCTTTTTTTCTTAACCCTAATATCTAATCGAAAAAAAAGCTTTAGTCGGAGCTTCTTGACTTTCTTAAGCTTTTAGGAAAAGTTAAAGCTTTACAAAGACTTTCAATTGGTGGACTTACTACAGAATAGTCGGAATATATGGGGTATAAGGGGTTTTTCCAGAATGAATTTTTTTTGACTTATTACACTCCAAAGATGCTAGAACAACAAAGGGAAAGTGTCGCTCAGCCATTTTCGGGAAAATTCCAAGCAATGTTTTAGTAAACCTTATACCGTAAAAGTTCTAATAGAAGACCACAAATTTCATGTGGGGGGCCACATGGATTTTTTGGAAGATTCGCTCGGGTAAAAAATAAACCTAACTAACTTACTAACCTAACTTAGTTGTTTCTAATTGTCTCCCTTTGTATCTAGCATTCTTGGGGTGTTTCTTAGCCAAATAAGTCGAAAAATTCCATTCTGGAAAAGCCCCTTACTCCATATTAGCCGAATAATCTTATTACTATAGCTTTAACCTATTTCTTTTCAGTGGCGATGCTTCGGATGCACAATCTCTCGTCGACGATGGCACCGGTGTGGGCCAATTGTCGCAAGGAAAGAATAGGTGAGATTTGAACTTAAGCTAACTTTTAAATTAAGTAACTGGATCATAACAAAGTTAGCTTGTTAAAGCTAGCTAGCTAGATAATAATATCAGTTTTGTATTTAAGGAAAAACGGTGGTGGAATGTTCTCGTGGTTTTCGTCGGCCGACGAGGGCATGTGCGGGCTGAGTCGAATGCAGCGAATGGTCGCCTTCATTTTTTCGCTTCTCGGCGCCGGAATTTGCTTTATTACGGTAAGTTTAGGCTCGTTTTATGCGTTTTCTTCAATTTTTACAGCCAATATAAAATTTTACGTTTTTTTCTTTTCCAGGCCGCCGTTTTGATTCCAGTGATCGTTTTGCCGTCGAACACACGCAAATTCGCCGCACTTAACTCGTTGGGCTCAGTGATGCTTATTTTAAGGTTTGTAATGGGATCAGATTAGATTTTTTATAATTAAGCCTTATTCAAACCTTTTTTTAATCAAATGGTTCAGTTTCGCCTTCTTGTGGGGTCCATATGCCTATTTCACACATATTCTCTCTCCGCAAAGACGTCTCGTCACTGTCGCCTATTTCTCGGCGCTCTTCGCCACTCTTTATTCGTCACTAATGGTTGGTTTTCGAGTGAACTCGATAAATCTAGTCTTGTTCACAGTTACCTGTACATGTTAAAGATGTTAAGATATATTAGAACCATACGGAAAGTACTACAGACTATGAAAAGTACTAGAATGATACCAGAGTCGATCTTTTTTAGCTCAAGAGCTTCATTTTCACATTCATCGCAGCCATCTTTCAAACCTGCACATTAGTCTGGTAAGGTTTTAAATTTTTCAAAATTCAAAAAGCAAAATTAAATTAAATTAAAACAAAAATCAGTCTTTTTTTTATCCTAAGCTAAATGGGAAAACGGATCGTTCGATCATAACTCACCATTTTAATGAAAATCTCGATTTCTCAATGATAAAATTCCATGTTCAATGAATAGCATACAATTTTTTGCTTTTTTTGCCAAAACTCTTCTATTTTTGTCTTTCCAGGTTCGTTCTCTCGTATGTGCCGGGCGGTGAGCGTGGTCTTCGATGGATCACTTCAATCTTCACCGGTTTCATCACCACTCGATCGGCCACCGTTCTACCGATTTAAAAAAGTGTGTTCAAGGTATTTTCTTTGACGAGGCTATAGAAATCGCCTAGTACCATCGACTCTAATCTTTAACCTCATAAACCTATCATTTTAATAGCAAGAAACCAATTTCCCAATGAGAATTCCCGATTTTCAGTACAATTTGCTTGTTTTCCAGCACAAAATTCCCCCATTTTCCTTTAATTCTAAAACTCTTTCTTTTCTTTGTTGAACACGTGCATTATTTTGCTTGTGGTGTGTAAATACGGTTAATCTTTGTGAGCTCTAATTTATCAAAAGTCTTTTTTGTAAAAGAATATCTTTCTTTCAAAAATCTATTGGTTTTTCTGTTTTTTTTTCGTTTTTCTTTTCTGCGTGTTATCATTTTTTGTGATGATTTGATTGTGATTTGAATGAAAAACTTGCATATGATACAGTAAGCCATCAACTTCAAAAATTCTGATGTTTTTAGGCGTTCTAAAGTGTTTTTTTGTTGTAAAACGTGCCCCATTTCCCCCGACTACGTAATCTTATCTGTTTTCATCTAATCTAACGATTTTTTTTATTTCTTTCGATATACTTTATGTACCTGCACTGAATTATAGCCAAAAAGTTGGTGGATTTGATGAAAATAGAGGCAGGATTGCGGTAATCGGCGGTTTGTGGAGAAGATGGAGAAGAACATTTTTTCCGTTTTCACTTTTACATTCCATATACCCATACAACTTGTGACTCGTTTACTCAGAAAAAATCCCCTCGTCATTTTTGGGGATCTTTTTCGGGAATGACATGACATGTTGCACAAAAAAAAGACGAAAGAACTCCCTTTTTCAAAGAGAGAGAGAAAAAACCCCAAGGGAACCATTGAGAATCGAACTGAAATGGCTGTTTGTTGTGAAAGAGTTTTGAGTTTTGACTTGATCTTGGGTACAAATGAAAGAGCAAAGTTTGATGAGAAAGAGCAACACTCAATCTCTTGGAATTTTCAAAATAAGTGTATAAATTTCGACTGGATATTTGGAAATTTTGGATTTAGCCCAGATTTTCACAAAGATTCTTCCAATATAGCCAATTGAACTGAAATTAAACTGAACATTAGCTTAAGACCGGCTGGAAACTAAACTAGTCCGGATTAAGCCCTAGGACCCAATTGAGGCATTCCCGATCAATAGGAAGTCAGTCTGGCATGACTTCTGATTGGACTTGATTTGCTGATAAGTTTTGATAAAGTCTTGGCCCAAAAGCTAGGATTTAACCGGACTCTGGCCTCTGATCTGGCTTATAGATCCAGATCTAAAGCTCCAATCGACTCGTCTGAGCTTTGTGACCAGTTCTGAAATCCCCGAATTTCTTGATCTTTTGAGTATCTTGTCGAAAAATCAAAGATCAAACAATTATCGTAATTCGTTTCTCTTGACAATTTTGAGCTTTTTTTTTGTTTTCTTATTTTCTACACTTTCTTTAAAACTAATGAGTTTATTGAAGAAATGAAGAAATGAAGAGGAAAAAGGCGGCAAATACCCGTTGAAAACACGTCAAAGAAAATATTAAATTTAGAAAAGAAAAATCGAGAAACTATGCACAACATTTTTTGTCAAAATCGATACAAAAAAAAAAACAAAAATCAAAATAAATTTGAGATCTTTCGAATTTTTGAGATTTTCTCTCATTCAAGGCATTGTCATCATCTTTACGAATTCCTCGTAGTCGATCTGGAAATGGGATTTGCAGGGAAATTATTCTAAAGGTGGTTCTAAATGATTCTAAAGGTTTAGAAGTATGTGAAAGGATTCTTCTGTCATATCATAATCTTTGACAATGTTTTTGATTAGATTCGTTTTGGAGCTAGATCTAGATTCTTTCTGAAGTTTGATTCGTTCTGAAGCTAGGTCTAGCTTCGTTCTGGAGCTAGCTTCGTTCTGGAACTAGATCTAGATTCTTTCTGAAGTTTGATTCGTTCTGAACTAGATCTAGATTCTTTCTGAAGCTAGATTCGTTCTGGAGTTAGATCTAGATTCTTTCTGGAGCTAGATCTAGATTCTTTCTAAAGCTAGCTTCGTTCTGAAGCTAGATCTAGATTCTTTCTGAAGCTAGATTCTTTCTGAACTAGATCTAGATTCTTTCTGAAGCTAGCTTCGTTCTGAAGCTAGATCTAGATTCTTTCTGAAGTTAGATTCGTTCTGGAGCTAGGTCTAGCTTCGTTCTGGAGCTAGCTTCGTTCTGGAACTAGATCTAGATTCGTTCTGGAGTTAGATCTAGATTCTTTCTGAAGCTAGCTTCGTTCTGAAGCTAGATCTAGATTCTTTCTGAAGTTAGATTCGTTCTGAAGCTAGGTCTAGCTTCGTTCTGGAGCTAGATCTAGATTTGTTCTGGCTCTAGCTCTAGATTCGTTCTGGAGCTAGATTCCATCTGGATCTAGCTCTAGATCCGCTCCAAAATGCTCTAACAGCTTTCCTCAATTTGCTAGCTCTGTCACCGATGACGAAAATCATGAGATCTGGGTGCATATCGGATCCCTGTTTTCTTCAATTTGCACAAGGCTGCCCAAGGCTGCCCGTCACTTTCCCCTCCCCATCACATCTCACTTTGATGGGTCTTTTCTCGATTCCATCACACACAATCACGCAACCATTTGCCCGATTCCTTTTCCCAACATTTCCCCTCCCAAACATTCCTCAATTTTAGTGTCAGCTGACGCTTTTCAGCTGTAACGACCATTTGAAATGAACTCTTTTAACGCTAACGCCAAAAAGACGATTATGCATTCAACGATTACGCAAAAAGGTTTAACAGGAAGTGAAAAGATAAAAAGAATACGGGGGGAAATTAGAAAGAAAAACTGAGATGAGATCTTTGGACATTAAAAAAAAGTCTGAATTAGAGAGCTTAAACCTAGCATATCTGTCTCTTAAAATTGTCCCAAACAGTTTCTAAACAAGTCTTGGATCTGCCGATCAAGTCTGCCAATTCTTGGATTCATTAAGCTAAAACTAATTCATTGTTCGAGTGTAAAGATTTGAAAAATTCAATTTTAAACGCTTGCAAGTCTAGTCGAAACTCTAGATTTCGTGGGCTTTGAGCTTTGCGCACATCGCAGTTTGATCAAGCAACTTGCGTTGTTGCATCTTGCGCACTTTGATCAGTCAGTTAAAACTAGGTCATTAGGTTGAGCCTAGTTTTTTTTCTACTTTTCAAGATCTAAGCCTTTGATCTAGCTCGACAGGGCAGCCTAACAAGCTCTCATTTCTGGCTCCAGTCTAGATCAGCTCAGTCCAGATCAGCTCAGTCTAGATCAGATCAAGGCTTTCAGGCTTAGACTTTTTCAGTTTTACTTCTAGTTCTAGATCTTGATTCTAGTCAGGTTGATAGTTCTAGAAATAAATGGTTTATATGGATTGGAATGGAATGGATTGGACTGGAATGGATTGGAATGGATTGGAAGAAGGATTGGAAGAACTGGAAGAACTGGAAGAACTGGAAGAACTGGAAGAAGATTCTGAAGATCTCTAGATCCCTAGATCCCTAGATCCCTAGATCCCTAGATCCCTAGATCCCTAGATCCCTAGATCCCTAGATCTCTAGTTCTCTAGAAGTAAATCTTTGCCCATTCTCAAGGCCAAGCTGTTCAATTTTCTTCTGCAACTCATTCGAATCCACTTCAAAGCTCAATATGGCTTCCAATTTCGTCAAAATTGCTGACAAAAGATCTTTGTTTTTGTGAGGAAAGGGATTAAAAATCGTTGGATTTCTCTGGGTGAGTAATTGAGTGAAAAAAGGGTGTTTTAAATGCGAAAATTTGGTTTTTTTTTTATCTCTTTCTCTATTAGTTAAACGAATGCTCTCATCTTTCCCGTTTTCACCCGTTTTCACCCGTTTGAATTCTGAATTTAAGGATTTAAAAATGATCAAAAACGGTTAATGGAAAGCCAAGAAAGAGCAAAAGAAAGCAACGAAAGCAACAAAGGAAACAAAAGCAACAAAAGCAACAAAGCTCTTGAGCCAGAGCTCGATTTAAACCCCCAATCAACAAGTTCGTAAAGGCTAAAATGTGGTCAAGAGATTGGCGAACAAAATTAAGGCCACTATATAAACATATAAACATCTACTATATAAAAGGCAAAGTCTGTCTTTCTTTGCCTTTTATATAGTAGATGTTTAAAGCATTTGAAAAGTTTTTTTTTGAGCCTTATTGGCCTTGATTTTGTTGACCAATCTCTTGACCACATTTTAGCCTTTTCGAACTTGTTGATTGGGGGTTTAAATCGAGTTCTGGCTCAAGAGCTTTGTTACCTTTGTTGCTTTTGTTGCTTTTGTTCCTTTGGCTGCTTTGGTTGCCTTGGCTGCCTTTGTTGCCTTTGTTGCTGATCACCGATCACCGATCACAATCACTGACCTGTCCATCACCATCAATATCAACTTCGGCGATGATTTCATCGACTTCTTGATCGGAGAATTGCTCTCCCATGTGTGTCATAAAATAGCGAAACTCGTCGGCAGTGATGTATCCATTTCCGTCACGATCGAACACTCGAAATGCCTCACGGATCATCTCGGAGTCGTTTTCCTGAAAATTTTCGATTCAATCTCCAGCACAGTAGTCTTATTTTGCTATAAAACAGAAAACAAGGCCTACTCTAGGCTACTATAGCCATTGCAATGCCTATCCTACAGTTCTAGGGTTCTATAGCTTCCTGAAAGAGAATTCTATAGCTTCCCGAAAGCCTAAACACTAGCTTTATCAGATAGACTAGAGCAGAGCCGTAACTGCAACATACTTTAGAGTGTTCAAGTCTTTTCCTTTAGTCTTTCAAGTCTTTAGAGTACTCAATTTCCACCAAAACTCTTTCAAAAGCATGACCCCACTTTGCTCATCCTCTTCATCATTTGACAAAACTCGGGGAAATCGATTGTGCCCGATCCATCGATATCCACCTCATTCACCATGTCCAACAACTCTTGCTCGGTCGGGTTTTGCCCAAGTGAGCGCATTGCGACACCCAATTCTTTCGAGGAGATCGAGCCGTTCCCATCCTGAAACGTTAAAGTTTACGTAGCGAATTCTGGAGTGAATTCTGGAGCGAATTCTGGAACGAATTCTGGAGCGAATTCTGGAGTCTAATCACTCCAAATCTAAGTTAAAATTCAGATAGTCATGAAAAGGGAAAGGCATGTAAAGCTGGCTGGCTGGCTGGCTGGTTGGCTGGTTGGCTGGCTGGTTGGCTGGCTGGTTGGTTGGCTGGTTGGCTGGCTGGCTGGCTGGTTGGCTGGCTGGCTGGCTGGCTGGTTGGCTGGTTGGCTGGCTGGCTAGTTGGCTGGCTAGCTGACTTTTTTCTCGAGACTTTGCTGGAGAAATCCATCCACCAAAGTCGGAGATCTCGAATCTGTTTTGTTTTTGCAGAATGCGAGATATTTATCATAGAAAATCTTAAGGACTCCGAAATTCATGGTGATTTTCTATGGCAAATATCTCGCGTTTACGAAGCGTTCTGCAAAAACTAAAAGAGAGATCCCCCATACTCTATAAGATGGATTTGGTCTCGAGAAAATAAAGCCAGCTTGACTCAGTGCCTTTCCCTTGTGAGTTCGATCAAAAGAGCAGGGCTGCAATCAGGCAAAGCCGGGCTTTTCGTCCAGCTTTTGGTCTAACTTTTCGTCTAATTTGCCCACCTTATCAAAGAGTCTGAAAGCTTCTCGATACTCGGACAACTCCTCCTCCGAGATCCCCTCTAAACCAGGCATGCTGTCATTCTGTCGCCAGCGATGGAACAACGAGGCTTTTCGGGTGTCTGTCATATTGTCTGTTCTGGAAAAAGGCATTGTTTAGCAAGACGAGAATTCATTTTCAATGGGAAAACAGGTTACAATCATGAAGAGATTGAGAATTACAATCACTTTCGAATCGATCAGTGCTCAAATCGATCAAATCAAATCGATCACTGTTCCCAAACATTGCAAATAGTTCAAAAGAAAGTAGGTAGAGTCATAAAGTCATAAAGCTCTTGAATTAAGTGAAACCCAAAGCTTGGCAAGTCCTAGGGATAGGTCAATTTTCCAAATCTTTAATTTCTAAGAACTAAAGTTTTGAAAAGGGAAAAGCATGTAAAGCTAAAGTTTTCTAAGAACTAAGAAAGAATAGAATTTAAGCAGCTTATCTCACTGTATCAAGAAAGTTTGCTTACAGTTTTACAAGCAAAAAAGCAAAAGAAATTATTTACTTTTATAAAAGATTCGTTTTACATTTTAAAAAGATCTATTTCGATGAATTCTGGATTAATGGAGGGAGGAGAAATGAGAAATCTCAGAAAAAAGAGAGCAGAGGGAAAGGAGGGAGTGTCCCGAGGTGTGTGATAGCGTTAATCCATCTCGAGGACAACAAGGGGAAGTAGGGGACGAAGGGGAAGAAGGGGACGAAGGGGAAGAAAAAGAAGAAGAAGAATAGACAAAAAACCAAATGAACACGAGATTTGTGGAAATGAGGGAGGAAAGGGATGGGTCTGCTGCCAAGCCAACAGGAAAAAATGAAAAAGGACAGACAGGCAGAAAGACAGTCTACCGTAATCCCAGACAGACAGAAAGACAGACAGACTACCGTAATCTCAGACAGACAGAAAGACAGACTACCGTAATCTCAGACAGACAGAAAGACAGACAGACTACCGTAATCCCAGACAGACAGACTACCGTAATCCCAGACAGACAGACTACCGTAATCCCAGACAGACAGACTACCGTAATCCCAGACAGACAGACTACCGTAATCCCAGACAGACTACCGTAATCTCAGACAGACAGGAAGACAGACTACCGTAATCCCAGACAGACAGAAAGACAAACGGAAAGACAGACAGACAGACTACCGTAATCTCAGACAGACTACCGTAATCTAACCGTTAGTTTTCACCAAATTTCGGTCGCATTCAAGGGAATGACAAGCCTCAATCAATGTGACCAAATTTGAATAGAATACTGCTTTAGATTACACTGGTTTGTCTTTTCGAAAACGAATGAGCTGAGCTGGACTAAAACTGGACCCTCCTCAATGTGATCACTCGGACACGCCCATATATTTCTTCGTTTCCTTGTCTTTTCCCTCTTCTCTTCCATTTCCCCTTGCCAACTCAGCCATTTGTCATCCGAGGGCAATAGGGGAGATTGGGATAGGGTTTTTTTTTTTAAAGACTCAGATTCATAGACTTATGACCAGTGAGCAATAGATTGAAAATCTCTGGCTGGGATTGGCCAAATCTCTGGCCAAATCTTTGATCAGCTAGCAGATCTGGCCTTGAGCTGCGTTTGAATTGGATTAGATTTATCAAAGCATCACCTAGCTTGAGCAGGACGAAGATCTAGACTGATTTTGGGTCATCCTAACAGGCCGGGGCTTGACTTGAATCAGGATTTGAGCAGCAGTAGTCAAGATCGAGCTAGGTCACAATTAAAATTTTAAACAAATGAAAGTTTTGGGTTATTTGTGGAATCTATAATTGTCTATGATTTCTGCTATTTGAGGAATCGATTTTTCTATTCATTTACTCTAAATTAAACCCTAGAATAGCTCGACTGTTGATCTTTGTCACGAGAATTTCTCAAGTTCACAGAAAAACGGGGACCTGAGCTCCGGAAACGTTGAAGGAAAAGAAGGAAAAGAAGAAGAAGAAGAAGAAGAAGAAGAAGAAGAAGAAGAAGAAGAAGAAGAAGAAGAAGAAGAAGAAGAAGAAGAGGAAGAAGAGGAAGAAGAAGAAGAAGAAGAAGAAGAAGAAGAAGAAGAAGAAGAAGGAAGAAGAGGAAGAAGAAGAAGAAGAAGAAGAAGAAAAACAAAATTGAGGTGATCATTGAGGGGAAAAATTTGGTAAAATTTGGCAAAATTTGGTTTAAATGTTCATAAAGTGCTTGAGATTTAAGAAATCAAAAAGAAATTCCTCAAAAGAATTCAAGAATTAATTCTTTTACATTCACGAAGTTTAGCTATTGCTAGTTCAGCTATAGTCATGCTTAACAAGTCTAGAAATGAGCTGTACCCTATATTGAGCTATATTTCAAAGTGTTGCTCAATTTATTGCTATTGCTCAATGTGAAACAATGATCACAATCAAAAGAAAGGTGATGAGGTTTGGCTAAAGGATTAGCTGATGTTTTAGCTGTTGATTAGATGACAAGTAAGCAACTAATAGGTTGTGTCTATAGAAAGGTAGCTCTAGATCTACTCCCAATAAAAATAAAAAAAAAAAAAAAAAAAAAAAAAAAAAAAAAAAAAAAAAAAAAAAAACACCCCCCCTAGCTCAGGATCTAGATGTAGCTCAGGATCTAGATGTAGCTCAGGATCTAGATGTAGCTCAGGATCTAGATGTAGCTCAGGATCTAGATGTAGCTCAGGATCTAGATCTAGCTCAGGATCTAGATCTAGCTCACGATCTAGATGTAGCTCAGGATCTAGATGTAGCTCAGGATCTAGATGTAGCTCAGGATCTAGATCTAGCTCAGGATCTAGATCTAGCTCAGGATCTAGATCTAGCTTTGAATCTAAAGCTCTAAAGAGTAAACAAAGAGAAAATTCAGAATCTTTCGATTCAGAAAACAAAAGCAGCTTAGCAACATAGGGAAAACGGGGAAAACCGGGAAAATCGTTGAAGGGAAAAGTTCCGGCTTGGAAATAAACGATTGGAAATAAACGATGAGGGGTAAATTCTAAACGTTCACAGCTGCTCTCTCAATCCTTTCGCTTTACTTTAAGGTGCTTTATTTTGAGAAAAGGAAAACGCTCTGAGGCAGGTAAGTGGAGGATTTTGTTTCCCCTCACACTCGACACGAAAAACAAGGGCTCGAGTAGCACTCTGTAGCACTTGTAATGAACTTAGAAATTGTTGAAAAGGCTCGAAATCTTATGAATTTGCTAATTTATGATATTTATGATAAAAGTACAGAGTAAAGCTATTTGCAAACTGGATTTATCGTCTGCTTTATTGAAATTTACCACACCGCACTCTTCAGCTCATCATTTTCGATGAGCTGAAGCTATTTGCTGAAGCTTTTTAGCTATTTTTCTTATCTAACTTCACTTACAGAACCTAATTTGAAATGATTCTTTGCTATAAATTTACTCTTTTTGCTTTATAGCTTTCTTACTCTTTCATAGCATTCTTACTCTTTCATAGCATTCTTACTCTTTCATAGCATTCTTACTCAATTTACTCTTTATCTTCAAAAACATCGAAAAATTACTTACAAAAGCCTAGTTGAAAAAGCGGAATGAAAGCATTCAATTAAAACATTGTTTTAGAGTATTCTATCTGTAAAATAAATCTCAAAATAGACTTTAAAGTTCATAAAAAAACCTTTAAAAATGTTTTCAAAACGAAAGCAAAATAACATTCGCCAACCGGATCCGAACCTGTGAGCACAAATCGAAACCAGACACTGAGAGCCTGCCCATTTACCAATACACCATTTGGTCACGAGCCCATGGGTGAAAAAAAACTCTTATAAACCGGAGGTTCGGCCAATAGGTATCCCAAATGGCGACGCGCTTTTCTTACGAATATTTGACCGGCTATTTATGTGGATGATCGTCGACGCATCATGGCCGAGTGGCTAAGACTCTTGTCTCTCAGTCAGCAGGTCAAGGGTTCAATCCCGGTGGCTGGATTTTTCTTTTACCCATTATTTCTTGCTGTTCCTACATTTAGCGCTTTTGTGCGGCATTATTCGTTAGAACTTTTCCGTATTTTCTCAAATCTCAAAAATCGTCAAATTGTGAAACTTTTGGTAATTAGGTGAAAAATAAAGTAAAATTCGAGAAAAACATTTCTCTTCAGCAATTAAATGTTTCGAAAATGATGAAAATCAATATTTCTTTCATGAGAAATCTCATCATTACAATTTCCGTTTAAAAATGGCAATTATCGGCTGATAATTGGCATTTCGGGCTTCGATAATTGGCAGTCATTTCTAGTTTTCACCAAAAAAGGATTAGTGATCAAAAAGATTTTCTGTAAAAAAAGCAAAAAAAAAACATTTCAAAAAAGTTTTCAGCAAAAAAAGAATTAAATTAGAATCGAGGACCAGAATTCGAAAGTTTTATATCTTTTTAACGAGTGTAATAGCAAGCAAAAACGAAACTAGAGACTGAGAGCCTGCACACTCACCAATACACCAATCGAGGACCAGAATTCGCGAGTTTTATTTCTTTTAAGGGGTCTTTAAGGATCTTTTAAGGAGGAAGCAAAAACGAAAATAGAGACTGAGAGCCTGCACAGCCTGCACAGCCTGCACACTTACCAATGCCTAAGCCTAAGCCTGCACACTTACCAATGCACCATTCGGTTATCATGAACGAGTCTCGGGTGCTTCGAAAAAACAGCTTCGCTGCTCTTGTTTTAACCTCAAATCTTTTAATGTTTAATCTCAAATCTCAATCTTTTAAATCTCAAAAGGATTTGATTAATCTAAAAAAGAAAAAGTAAAAAAGTTTGAAGTAAGGAGGATCGAACCAGGGCATTATGCTAATCGAACCGTGCCACAACCAAGAGCACTATCCCCTCGGCCACGAAGGGATCTTTTGAGAGGCGGCGTGAAGGCATCAAATGGAGATCAAAGACTGGTAACGCGTTTTGGTAATAACTGATTTGGGCGTAGAAGATTGTTCCTCGAGAAAACTTCAAAGTCAGGCTGATTTTTGTACTACAGTACATAGGGTTGTAATTAGTAATGATTCGGATTGCGAAAAAAACGAATAACAGTTTTTTGGGGTCTTTCGCTTTCAGTCGAGGAATCGATTTTTCTATTCATTTACTCTAAATTAAACCCTAGAATAGCTCGACTGTTGATCTTTGCCACGAGAATTTCTCAAGTTTACAGAAAAACGGGGACCTGAGCTCCGGAAACGTTGAAGGAAAAGAAGGAAAAGAAGAAGAAGAAAAAACAAAATGGCTTTTCGCAAGTGAAAGTTTGATAGAAAATTTGTATTTGATTAATCAAAAAAAAAAATTGAAAAGCTGTTAGTTTTAGCTAAAGGAAAGTGTCCACTTGCGCATTTTATCCAACAAAAAAAAAAACTCATTGAGAATGGGGGGAAAAGCAAAAAAACCGAAGAAAAGCGCAGAAAATTGCTCATTTAGTATGAATGAAAAAGGCGGCTAGAAATGCAGGAAATTTTAAATTTTTCCCTCTTTACCCTCATCTTTTGAGCGCATCCCTTTGAAAATATATATTCATACTTTATTCAGGACATGAAATAAAGCGTAATCAGTCAGACAATACACAAATCTTCAACAAAATACATAGAGAAAGATGAGATATTTTACTCGGCGATGTGGAGGCGGGGAGAAAAAATGAGAGAGAATTCTCAAGTTCTCAACTTTTTACCGCAAAATTCATTCACTAAAGCAACAGATATGGGGGTGGGTACTTGACGCGAAATTTTTTGCGCAACTAGATTAGAGTGTGTTCCTCGCAGACAACGCGTTTTCTAAAAGGCGGCGCGGGCCAGGGATAAACTACTAACCCTATGTTTTTAAACGGCAAATTTTCCAAAATCACAAATCCCATAAAAATCTTTTTCTTTTTTTCCTACTACTCCTTTTCACTCATAATTACCCACTCCTCTCTAACTAATCCTTTTCCCTAACTCATACTATTACTCTTTTCTTAATCTCTCTATTCCTCTAATCCATTAACCCTATTACCCCCTTCCTCCCTATTACTCTTTCCCTAACTCTATTACTCTTTCCTTAACTCTATTACTCTTTCCTTAACTCTATTACTCTTTCCCTAACTCTATTACTCTTTCCCTAACTCTATTACTCTTTCCCTAACTCTATTACTCTTTCCTTAACTCTATTACTCTTTCCTTAACTCTATTACTCTTTCCCTAACTCTATTACTCTTTCCTTAACTCTATTACTCTTTCCTTAACTCTATTACTCTTTCCCTAACTCTATTACTCTTTCCTTAACTCTATTACTCTTTCCTTAACTCTATTACTCTTTCCCTAACTCTATTACTCTTTCCTTAACTCTATTACTCTTTCCCTAACTCTATTACTCTTTCGCTAAAACTCAAAAATTTTAAAATGCTGTGTGAAATTAAAGAAAACATATTTAAAACGGAAAAAAGTTAAGAAACACTATAAAAAAATGATATTATTCACGAATTTACCGGGCCTATTGTCTACATTTGCACTAGAGCTATTCAAAAACAAATTCCACGCCCTAAAAAACCTAAATCCTTAAATAAAACTATCCATTACTAAATTTTAAGAAAATTTTGCACATTTTTTTTCGCGCGGCCTAAAGGCTTTGCTTTGCTTAAAAAGCGCACCTTTTAGAAAACGCGTTGTCGGAAGTTTGTCGGATCAATTGTCTGACAAAAGAGTTGTCAAGGCAAATTTGTCTGACAAATTGTGTGTCAACAAGGAGCACACTCTAAACTAGATCATTTGCGCAACTCGCCATAACTTTCTTCTAAGTCGGCCAATCTTTATGCTTTTGGTTTCATTTTGTTCCACTTATTGAGATTTACAAAATGGTACCAAAAGCATAAAGATTGCTTGACTTAGAAGAAAGTTATGGCGAGTTGCGCAAACGACCCTGTTGCGCAAAAAAAAATTTTGCGCAAAGTAGCCTACCCCCGAATCTCTTGAACTTTTTAAACGTGTTGCTCAAATTTCCGTTCTTCTTTAGACTTCTTTAAGTCTTATCGATGTTATAATAGTTTTTTTATTTATTTTAGATATCTAGCTATCTATATACACACAGAGCTTAGCGGTAGCTAAGTTTAACAATTTTAAAAGAAACAGGAGGGAAATGCTCACAAGAAACAAAAAAAAAGCACAAAAAGTTTAATCATTTTAAAAGAAATAGGGAGAGAATTTTAATAATAAACATAATTATTGGGTTGATGCATAATTATCCGGACTTCTTTTATAAATGATTTTATTTAACAAAAAATAACATAAATAGTTAGAAAAATATGTTTAATTGATTATTCTGGAGCATATTCACCGCCTACATCAATAACTGATTGCCATTTGCTTGGAAGACGATCGATTCCACAGCGAAGAATAAACGATCTTTGGAGGCAATCCACGCTTTAACATCGTCTATCAAGTCATCCAAATCGTTGTAGATCTTATTTGTTTGCCAATTTTTGAGCGATCGATTGACGTGGTAGTCCGTTGGGGCTTCTCCAGTTCTTTGAGATCGCGAAACGACTCTGCGGCAGACCATCCCTTTTCGAAGTGGTAGAGCATGATATGGCGAAGATGGATATGATTGTCGACACGCATTTTGTTCACTAAAGAATAACGAATATTTAAAAAAAAGAAATAGACAAAAAGCTTTCAAAACAAAAAAGATACAAGCACGCAAAAAGAAGTCCGGATAATTATGCATCAACCCAATAAATAAAGGGTAGGCTAATTTCCGCAATCTTTTTTAGCGCAACAGGTTCATTTGCGCAAATCGCCATAACTTTCTTCGAAGTCGGCCAATCTTTATGATTTTGGTGTCATTTTGTTCCACTTATTGAGATCTACTAGATCTACAAATAAAATTCGATTTGAATACAAATTCAAACAGTCACAGAACCTAGAAATGCGGGTGGTTACTTTGCGCCAAATTTTTTGCGCCATAACTTTCCTCGAAGTCGATCAAACTTTATGATTTTGGTGTCATTTTGTAGATCTGAATAAGTGCAACAAAATGACACTAAAGTGATAAAGATTGATCGACTTAGAAGAAAGTTATGGCGAGTTGAGCAAAAGTTGCGTTAAGTTGCAAAAAGTTGCACATACCTAGTCGCGCAAAGGATCCAGGTGCGCGAAAAATTTCGCGGAAAGTAGCTACGTAGATATTCTTCAAAAAAAAAAAAAAACGTTTTCAAAGGAGAAAAGAAAAGTTTTTGCAGTTTGTTTTTTTACAAAACAACAATTTCTAATTTCTATTGCATTGAAGACATTGAAGACAATTAAAGCTGTGAAATGGCTCGTGGAAATTGTTTATTTCTTCATAAATCCACAAATAAAAATCGAATTTTTAGAGTTTAGTTGACAAAAACTTGTGCAATATCATCATATTCATGGGTTCTTTTGTTGAAAACGTCGTGAATTCGGATGCCGGAAAGAGACTGAAATTTGAAAAATGAAAATTATAGAACGAATCGAATCGAATCGATAGAACGAATTTGAAAGGCCATTTAGGCATCTTCAAGGATTACGATAGCTTCTATTGCGTTTCCTATAACATTTCTCATTTCCGTTTTCCTAAAAGAAAGCTCTTTCTCGGCAATCCGTAATCTTTTCTATTTTCATCTAATCTAATCATTTTTTTTCTTACTTTTGACCTTTCTCATGAGCCTTTACAGAATTAGAGGATAAAAAAATAAATGGATAGATTGGATAGATTTAAGATTACGATAAAGAAGGCATGTTTTAGAAAATTTCTAGCATTTACCTGAAATCCTAAAGTCACCGGCAATAGCTCTAACCCAAAATCGATCGAGGTGTTTGGCGGGATTTGACCAAGAGATTTCTGAAATGATCACAAGTTGAAGGGTTTTATTTAAGATTTAAGATTTAAGATTTAGGCTTTAAACTTTAAACTTTAAGCCTTAAGCCTTAAGCATTAAGCCTTACGCCTTAAGCCTTAAGCCTTAAGCCTTAAGCTTTAAGCCTTAAGCCTTAAGCCTTAAGCTTTAAGCCTTAAGCCTTAAGCCAAGCCTTAAGCCTTAAACTTTAAATCCAAAAATTTGACTCTCTTTTCAACTTACTCCCGACGTGCAACAGTAGACGATTCCCGGCTGGCGAACGGTGTCAAAAGAGAGCATTAGGTCGAGAGAACGATCGCTGAAAGAGATTCCGATAGGGTGATTCAATCAAAAGATTTCCTAGACAAAAAATCAAAGAATTTCCTCTTGCCCACCAACAATTGTGCACTCGAAGCATCACTTCAAACGTTTGCCTGACTCTCACCGTCGCCGGCACTCTTTCCACACTCAAACGAGTGTCCCCATAGCCGGGTGCCTGAATTTTCGTTTTAAGTCACTTATCATAGCCAAGTCAGTCATAAACTTCATATGCAAAGTGCTTTAGATTTGCCTTTACTTACAATTCTCTGCAATGGACTCGTTTGCAAGCGTCCCCTTTCGCCCATCGCCGTTCGCCATTGCATGTCGAGTTTCCCGATGTTTGTCACCTAAAGCTTTCCTTGTTCTTCACGATTATCGCTATTAGATAACCAGCTAATACCTATCATAGAAACCTATCTCAAAACGATATTTTACCAAGATAAAAAGTTCCTTACTATCTAATTTCTAAGTACAAAGTTGTCATCATATATTTGAACCTCTTTCGGCGACGAGATCCCATGATTCTTTGGAGTCAAGCAAAAGAGAAACTGGCGAACATCTTTCGGGCGAAGTTGCACAGCTGATGGACTAAAAGTTTCTTTATTCTCAGTTTAAAATTTTTATTATTTAAGTAAATCTCAAGTTCTCCTTTCATTCTTTTCCACTCACCTTGGCGTTATCGCTTGACTATCATAGAAATCGCTTGGTTCAAGTACAACCCTTTCCAACATCATCATTCCACCGGAGGTGTTCTCGATTTGAGCCTCCAAGAAGACGTCGTTCGACTAAAAAAATTCAACTGATAACGGGAATCTGTCTAAAATATGGGTTTTCTAGAAAACCCAAAAGCTTGAGCTTGGTCTAGCAACTATTTTATGCTCAACTTTTCACGAAACCCACCAAATTATCCTAAAGTGATCGATTTGGAAGCAAAAAAAAGCACACCAGACACGAGCATGCAAATGAAAATCGAGTTATTGAAAAATAGGAAAAAAATTTTCCCACCTCAGCATTGTAAAATTTCGTGCGCACGTCGATGGGTTTTGTGACGGGGAATTTGAAGAATTTCCGGAAATATTGGCTGCTTCCCGAGGACGTTTTGTAGGTGACCGAGCAGACTAATCTGAAAGAAAATTATCTAGAATCGTATCTAATATCTGAAATCTATCAGTTTAAAAATGACTATTAAATCTAAAATTCGTATCGTATTGCCATAGCAACGGGCGGTGGAAGCTAATCTTTTGGTCTAAAGATATTCGATAATCAAAAGTGTGTATTGTATTGAGAAAAAAAAGTGTATTTAAAGCTACAGTAATGCATTACAGTAAAGTAGTAAAAGTAGCCTTTTAGTAAAAAGTAAAAAGTAGCCAGTAAAAAGTAGCCTTTTAGCCTTTTACTATACCCACATGTGTTGCCCGAGCTCTTTCACCTCGTGGCTCACCACTTGTCCTTGCGATTCACCGGCCACCAACTTCAACCCATCCAGTTTACACGGTAATGGCTGCTTTTGGCTGTTCGTTTGTAAATCGACCTGAAACTTTATGGTACTATTGGATTTTTGCTCTCTTCAACCTTAACAGTAACCTCGTCCACTTGGTCATTCCCTTCATTGATACAACTCACATAGAAGGTGAACGTTTCGCCAAGGTAAATGTTTCTAACGATAAGTATTTGATGATAGCTTTCTCTTACACCAACTCAAATTGTTGCGGCGCTAGGATGAAATCCCCAATCGGCCACTGCGATCCTTCGTCGATGGTTTTTCGTTGTACTGTTTGTTGAATTATACGACCAACATCATCCTCAGGATCAACGCATAATGAAGTGAATGGGGCGAATTTTGGCCGAGCCAATCGCATCACTGAATCGAAAACAAGTTGCAAGACAAGTACCGGCCGTTTTAAAACCAAAAATGCAGCTACTCGGCGTATCTCTCATTTTATTCGAGGCTTTCCTTATTAAGGCGATGCCAGTATCCAAAACCAGACAAACCTTTCAACGTGATTGTTTGACTTGGTCCTTGTAGGTCTGCCATTTGAAGCTTTAAGTCTGAATCGTAAAAACAATTTATCAGAAAAAAACAAATAACGAGTTGGCCACAACAAACAATTGAAAGGGTATCGCCCGGATTGACACTAAACCAAGCCTGACAAAGGGCCAAAAAGCACCCAAGAGATTTTACGGTGACCTAAAGCGTCAAATACACACTGCGTGTCGTGGTCGACCGCGATTTTAGAGAAAACAACTCGAGCTCAACACGCAGTAAATGTATTTATAAAATCTAGATAAAAACAAACAAAATGACAAATAACAAAAACATTTTTCAAGAGATGCGTGAGCAGTTCGGCAACTCGTTCAGCTTCTGTCTTTAGTGATGGTGTGCGTGGCCCGAGTGATCGTGATCATGTCCTTCGCAGCTCTTCTTTTCATTTCGAGAAGCCTCATCAAAGTCGCCAACGAGATCTAAACCATAAGGGACCATAGATGGGTTAAACGTGTATTCAATTACCAGGAACGTCATCTTCTTCGGAAGTCTTGAATTGTGTTGTAACATTGCTTGCCAACTTCTTGAGATGCGTGAGTGACTCAGGACCCAGTTGATTAAGAATCGCTGGTAGCAACTCTGTGATTTCTAAAAACAAGAAAATTAGTTGCATAAACCCAAAGCCCTACGTTTGTTCTCAGCGCTTCCACAGACGGAAAAGGTGTTAGCCGGGACCGAAGCTTGCACTTTTGGGTTGTTGAAGTGGATGACCGTTCCGTCCTCCTTGATCATGTTAACCTAAAATAAAAAGCTAATCGATGCATAAGAAAAGTCATTGACTCATTTATAGCCTAGTATCAGTCTATGATTTGCGAACTTTCAATGAATTTGCCACCTAACAAGTCCCACGTTTATAAGCATTTAATTACTACTACCCCAATGTTTTAGTGCAAAAGCAACACCTCCTCAATGCCAGGAATGTTGGTGACGGAAAGCTTCTTGAGGTTCGATTGCAACTTCTTGTCATCCGAAGCGGCGGTCTTGTGCACAACCTTCTTCTTCCTTCGCACGGTTCCCTGAATAGAAAAGATTAGTACTCTATACAACTTGGGCAACAACATTCTGACTAATTCATTGAATATATGATTCAATGCATCTACCCAGTTCACTAATTTTAAAATCTAGGCTCCAAATTAACCATCAGTCCTCCTGGCGGGTCTACAAATATAACATCAAAATCTAACCTTTCCTCCGGTGCGCACAGCCTCAGCCATTGCTTGCAGCTTCTTGATTTTCTCGGCAACCTCCTTGTCGGTCATTGTTGCGGAATTCCCTGAAAGTGAAACGATTAGTCCAAGAATTGGTACTAGTAAACTTCAGGGGGAGGGAGCAGTTCGATTTGACCCGGTCAGAACCTATTTTACCCGTTTTTTTTAAGCCTGGTTTTGCATTTTTTCAAATATGCTTAATCTATTGGTGATATTTTTAGTGTTTTGAATAAGTTTTCACTTTGTACTTCGCCCCTGGTCTCATTTTCAAGCTTTGTGGCACTGCAACAGCTATCCTCCGTCTAGCTCAACAAAAGATTAATAAAAATTGTTAAAAACTTTCCAAAAATATCACCAAATGATTCAGCATGTTTGATTAGCCGAGAAAAAATTAAATAACGTTAGTAAAACCGTCGAAAGATCAAATCTGACCAAATCAGAGGCAAAGTGCCCCCGCGCGCCAAATTTTATTAATATCTAAGAATGAAACAAGTAACAATTGTACAATAAAACTAGTAGGAAGAAAGATTGGGCCGCGCAATTCAAAAGCATGAAAGAACAAGTCTTACAAAACAGCTTTGATTGACAGCTACTGATAACAGAAAGGAGAGGGAGCTAATCTACGAAATTTCACTTTTTTTAAAAGCGCGAGTTTTAAAATGGAGCAAGCCAGAGGCAGCTGACTTTAGCAAAATTAACACGATCGATTAAAACTTAAGGGCCCGACTGTAAATAAATCACGCGACAAAAGTGAACGGATCTAGAAATTTTCTTGGCAAAATCTTGCCGAGACAGTTTTGCGCCAAACGGGTGTGGCAGCCCGAAAACTAGTACAAAGGAACGCGCTGTAGGGGACAGCCACGCAACGCACAGAGAAAAGAGGGGTAAAAGGAAATGGAGTTTGCACACAAGTGATGAATCATATGGCTGGACAATGAACGCGGGCTATCAGTTAAGCGCTTTTATAGGTGATCGTCATCAAAATTGATTCTTTCGATAGCATTTCACCAATTGATTCTCAAAATTCAGCACTAGCTGCATTCCAAACGCTTTAGACGGGCAAACTTTTAAATTAATGAAGCTTTTGAGAGCGTTCTCGATTGCGAAATCGTCACATTATGCAAGGCTTATCGATTTTAGGCATCTAGACGTAAAATGGAAGAGATTGGGAAATTCTAGATGGAAATTTTATTAAAAAAATGGATTTGCGCATTGAATACACTTTTCTTCCTTTCTAACGTGGTTGAGAGTCCTTTTTCTTCACCTTTTTTTATTATGTTCTTCGTGTTCTTAGCATTTACAATTGTTTCTATTTTAGATGAGCCTTTTCGGGAAGATCTTCGGCGGCAAGAAGGAGGCTCCACCACCGAGCACCCAAGACAGCATCCAGAAGTTGCGCGAGACCGAGGAGTTGCTCATCAAGAAGCAGGACTTTCTTGAGAAGAAAATTAAAGATGTAAGGGTTTTTGATTAGTTTGTATTTGAGAGGAAATTCTTGCGGGAAGCGTTGATTGGCTTGTTCTGATATTTATATGAATAACTATTTTTAATCGCCAAATCAGCAGTAGACTAGTTGTAAGCTTGGTTTAATTAGAAGTGTTACTATGATTTTATTCACTATCGGCGTTTATAGCGTTAAACTATCAATTTTTGTTTTAGTTAAAACGTCTTTACGTTCGATTACCCTAATCAAAGAGCTTTGAAGTTTAGCGGGTATTCTTAATCGATTACCTCGAAAAAAGAAAAGGCTGAATGATGACTCATCTTTTTTTTAGGAAGTAGCAACTGCTGTGAAACATGGAACAAAGAACAAGCGGCTGGCATTGCACGCTCTCAACAGAAAAAGGTAAATTTACAATCTTTAAATTAAGCGTTTATTATTTTCACTTTAGACAATATGAGAAACAACTTGCGCAACTTGACGGCGTTCTGCAAACGATCGAATTTCAAAGAGAAGCCCTCGAGAATGCGTCGACGAACGCGGAAGTTCTGCAAGTTATGGGTGGAGCTAGCAAAGCCCTCAAGGCTGCTCACAACAACATGGATATTGATCAAGTGAGTTTTTGAGTTGAACTTTGGAATCAAATGGTACTGCTGACGGGCAGTCAAAAGTGGCTTTTATTATGTTTTTCCATGTTAAAGAGTTTCTTTTAGGTCCATGATTTGATGGAGGATATCGCTGAACAACAAGAAGTGGCCAATGAAATTGCCGAAGCCATTTCAAATCCCGTCGGGTTTGGCCGAGATCTCGATGAAGATGATCTTATGAAAGAATTGGAACAACTCGAGCAGGTAAAAATTTGAGCTAATTTAGAAGCTTTCTTACTGACTTCTAAAGGAAAATATTAACAAAATCGGGACTTATTGACGCTACCAGCCAAACGGCGGATTTTTCTGACTGGATGCTTTGGCGCTGACGCACGAGTCAAGGGGCGCCGAGACCCCTGTAACAATACAGGGGCAATTAAATGTGAGGCAATTAAATTTGCATACTTTAGCTCCATGCTCGAAAACATTAAAAGCAAAAAAGTTTGAATCGGACCCGGCACCCCTGCCCTCCCTTACATAGACCGCCGAGGCAAAAAAAAGGGACGGGGCTTAGTAGTTTTTAACTTTTAAAAAAGTACAAGAAGAAACTCGTCATTTTTTGGGGGCGGCGTCAGCAGAAATTCATCTATCGAACAAAAAAAAGTGTACTCCGAAATTCGATCTTGGTGCTGAGAAAAGTGCGCGTGACGGACGGACAGACAGACACTTGCCTATTATATATAGTAGATTAAACTTTTTATCACTGCAACAATGATTTTAGCAACTTATCTATTTTAGGAAGAACTCGACAAGCAGCTCCTTGATGCCAATCCCACACCGATTAGTCTTCCCGATGCGCCAGCCGAACGACTTCCAGCCGTGCCTGCCAGAAAGGCTCCCGCAAAGACCAATGCCGACAAAGACCTCGACGAGTTGGAGGCTTGGGCAAATTCATGATCTTTTTCACGTACGGATGCTTTTATTTGAATGACTTAAGTGCCACACATGTTTTTTTTTCTGACCAGCATTGAATTTTTTATTACCACGACCATTCCTCTTTCTTTTACTGACTTTGTTTCTTCTTTTGTCGCTAGTCGGACTTAAATATGCAGTCTTTTTCGATTGGGTTATAATTGTACATTTGTATATTGGGCAGAAACAAGCTATTAAAAAGATTGCTCTACCCGAGGGAGAAAATCACATGCAAATCTGGTTAACAATTAATTATTTTAGATAAAGCAAATGTTTGTTTTGAAAGAAAACGACAAAGTTTTAGAAGAAAGGCGTAAGGCTTTACAGGTGCACAAGTATTTTGGCTCTTTGGGTGACTCGACGTAAGTTTTTAGGCTTGACGCGGTTGAGTTTCCTAAGTCGACCCGGTCAAATTGGCAGGTTTACTACTGCACAGAAAGTGTATTTCAAAATAGGTAGACTTATATAGAGTTATAGTTTTGCCTTAAGAACATGATCAATGGTTTCTTCTAACCAAAAGTTGTTGCGGTTGGATTTAGCGCCAAAATTGAAGCTTTTAATTGGTTTAGTTGACACACCTAAGGCGTTTCAGCGAAAAATCGGAAAAACTACATTCATCTTTTCACGATATCTTCATTAATCGTTTCTCTTTTCACAATTGCCAATTCAGCCGAGTGTTAACCCCCTTTTGGGGCAAGTTGAAAGAGAGAAAGATGGGTATTGTGTGCGTCGAGAGCTCTCCTTCTCCGTTGAGATGGGTTCCAAGCGATGAGAGGGGAAAGAGTGCGAGAAGATAGGTCTATCAAAAATTCATAGGGCCTTCTCTTCCCTTACTCCTTCCTTTCATCCGCTTTTCTTCAAGAAGAGCTCTCCATTCGTGCTAACGAGCCGCCTCCATCACTTTCGTCGTCTCCTTTTCACTTCATCCTTCACCCCAGCCTTTTATCCCTTTTTAGTTAGCGATCTTCTCAGAGACATGTGTAAATGGGCGCTTCAATAGTGCATATGAGTCATAAAGAGAATCTCTTAGTAGTCACTTTTTCTCTCTTTTCTTTAGTTTTACAAGAGTTATTCATGTTTTAGATAAAAAGATCACTTTTCCCGAGATACGCTTATAAAGGTGATAACCATCACTTTATCTACAATATTCACAAAATTCCAGTTTACTGTATTACAATTACAGCTTACTGTGAGTGAGATGATTTCTCAGAATACTTGACCTTGCCATTCATCTGCCAAAGTTATCAATTGTTATGTGAAAAAAAAAAAGAAAATTTAATCACTTGTTTCACATTTCATTAATAATTTTTGAAACTTACGAAAACAGTTTGACAAAACATTTTGATCTGTTTCCCTTCAAAAAAAAAAGACTCTCTCGCTCATCACTCAAAACACCTACGAAAATCCCCTTTACTCTCTTTTCCTTCTCGATTTCTTTGAAACATTTGCATTTCTTTTCTCTTTAGTTTAGTTTTGAGTGGGTAAATGAGGACCCAATTTCTCTCTTTTTTTTCCCCACCCCATTTTTGATGGGATTCACTCCATTCTTCTCCTCGTCAATTCTCCGATTGACGATAGATAAGCCGGGTCTTTTTAACTCCGAAAATCGACCCTTTTTACTCTCTTTTGCTTTGAAAAGTTGAGTCAAATGATACTGGGATTGAACCCTTGACTTCTTGACTAAGATACAAGACTTCTAGACTTCTTGACTAGGATAAAGGGCTCTTCGCTAGTCAGCCATCACAATTATTAGCTTCATTGTTGTAATTGGGGGGGTTTCGTTGGACGAAAGCGATTTGAGTTCTTATTTGAATTACTTCTTCAAAGTGAACTCGATGATTTATTGGGTTTTTCTTTTGCGAAAATTTTCTGAAGTCTCCGGGATGGGAAAGCTGTGGTTAGGGGGGTGGTTTAGGGCGACTTTATTGGTCCAATCAACCTCTCCCCTTCATCCAGCTCATCTCATTCGAGTCTGGGATCTATTTTCTATCTATTCTATCTATTCTATCTATTTTCTATCTATTTTCTATCATTTTCTATCATTTTCTATC